TAATCCACAAAGGTCTGGGATCTACTGATAACAGGAAACTTCATTGCCTATCGAAAGGAAGAGTAAATATAAATAATTCTATGACGCCTGAAGACAGGCGACAGAGGATTATCCCACTGTGCTAATAAGACTGATTATTTCTTTATTTTTAATCTAGTCTAAGGATGCTGCTGCTGCTGTATAACTTATTTAATGAATAAACAGGTAATGGTATCAGTGACCCAATACGATTACAAAATGGAGGCAAGGTACCAAACAAGATGTTTGGAAGCCATTTTACTGTCTCCACCTACATAATAAATAGATCTATTTGTGTACTTGAAAATTAAAAATTAATAGTAAATCACCATCATCATCATTATTAAAATATATGTATATATGTAGCTGTGATTCCAGCATTGCCAGGGGTTGGAGTAGATGACCCTTTAGGTCCCTTCCAACTCTGAAGTTCTATGATTCTATGTGCTAATAAACTGTCCATCATTATCAGACAGATCAAACTGCCAAGGGGGTGAAGGCAAAACGGGGCCCAACTCCTCTCTCACCCCCTGGTGACAGAACCCTGAATCTCCAGCAATGAGAGCATCTGCCTCCCGGCAGAAGACCCACAGGAACATGGACCAAGGGTGTGTTAAACCAGGTCAGTGAGAGGGTCTGGAGGGCCAGACAGCAAGGTCTGGAGGGCAGGATTTGGCCAGCACTCCAGAGGTTCCTCCAGAGGTTCTCAGGAGTTTGGTTTTGACTGGCGCCCCCCCCCCCCCAATATTTGAACAACACATCTCTCCAGATTGCCTGCGGTGCTTGTTAGTGTACTGTCCAATTATTTCAGCAGCAGGATAAATCATGTAGCATCATTATTTTTACAAAAGGAGGCAATTCAGCAAGGGGAGAGAGGAACAGCACCAGGAGAGGAGTCTTGACAATCTGGAATTCCACCTTCTCTGAAGGAAGGAGCAGCCCCGCGGTCAAGGGCAAAGGCACAGCTGGCACCCCTTGCTTTCTCCTCGATAACAAAAAGTTAGAACTTCAGCCCATAGAGCTCCTAACCTACCCACCCCCTCTACTTCCATTACAGAATCATGCTTGGTTTATCATTCACAGAATCACAGAACTGTAAAGTTGTAAGGGACCTAGTCCAAGCCCCTGCAACACAGCTAAACAATCCCTGACCATCCAACCTCTGTTTAAAAACCTCCAAGGAAGGAAGCTCTGCTGCTCCAGAGGAATCCAAACCAATGGATTCAAATGACAAGGAAGGAGATTCTGACTCAACATTAGGAAAAGCTTTCTGATGGCAGGAAATGTTCGACCGCAGAATGGACTCCCTTGGAAGGTGGTTGTCTGTTGGAGGTTTTTAAGCAGGAGTTAGATGGCCACCTGTCATGGATTCTTTAGCTATGATTCCTACATTCCAGAGAGTTCACTGCATGACCTTTAAGGGTCCCTCTCCAACTCTACAATTCTATGATTCTTAGGACACGGGGGGTGTTGTGGTCTAAACCACTGAGCCTCTTGGGCTTGCCGATCGGAAGGTTGGCGGTTCGAATCCCCATGACGGAGTGAGCTCCCGTTGCTCTGTCCCAGCTCCTGCCAACCTAGCAGTTCAAAAGCATACCAGTGCAAGTAGATAAATAGATACTGCTGGGGCGGGAAGGTAAACACTGGTTTCCGTCACAGTGTTCTGTTGCACCAGATTTAGTCCTGCTGGCCACATGACCCTGAAAAGCTGTCTGTGGACAAACGCTGGCTCCCTCGGCCTGAAAGCGAGATGAGCGCTGCGACTCCATAGTCGCCATTGACTGGACTTAACAGTCCTTTACCTTTTTTTTACCTCTATGATTCTATACCATGAGTGGCTCGACTCTCGCATGGCAGCTGTGAAAAGAGCAACAAATTTGGCCTCTCATTTGAAAATGAAAACTTACACCAATAACATCCTCCTCTACACACACACACACAACCAGTGACCCCAGTTCCCTCCTATCAGAATTTGGACCACCCCATCACTGCCAGCTCCCATCACTGCTGCCTGCAAGATACACTTCTGCCACAACGCCACAAGGAGAACATTCAGAGCTCTGCAAAGCTTTCCCTGGGTTTCATTAAACACGGCTGCCGGAGGAGGAAGTTATTAAAGTGATCAAATGGAACGAGGAAACCCAGAATTAACTGACAGCCGCAAGAGAATGGAGGGTTCCCTCAACCAGCAGAGACAGAACATGACAGGTTTGGAAACAGAGGCTGGCTGGGAGGGAAGTGCAGACTCCCCTGAAGACTACCGGCGAAGGAAGGCTCGGATTTACGTTCACACTCAATACTCCGCATGCAAACGGGCATTTGGAGCTGCCCTACACCAAAGTCAGGGCAGTGGCTCAGCAAGCTCACGTCTGTCTACACTGACTGACAGCGGCTCTCCAGGGTTTAAGAGCAGGCATCGCAGAATAGGTTAAACGGGGTTTTTAACAAATGTGCGATTAATGGTTACTGTTTTGAATGATATTGGATTGTTATATTCCTTATTGGGTCGTGCAAATCACTATTCTGAATCATGCTTTTTATAGGCTATGGAACTGGGGATGAGTTTGTGGAACCAAGCAAGGTAGCCCCAAAAAGTTTGGGAACCACTGATTTAAAGCAGTGTCAGATATATAAGCTATTCCCTGAATGGCTCCTTAAACCTAGGTTATAGGCACCATAATGGAACATCTAGGGGCTGGGTTTTCCCCCTGGTAAAATTTTATTATTATCATTGTTGCTGTTGTTAATTTCATTTCTATACTGCTTTATATTATAAGGAAGAAATCTCAGAGTGGTTTACAACATGTTGAAACATCAAATAAAACAAAATGTGCCTGGCACTTGGCTAATTGCTAACAGCGCTCTCAAACCCTTTCACCAAGCTATCCACCTTGACCTCAATATCTCCTTCCTGTTCATCACTGCTAGTTCAGATGTCAATAGTGAAGTTAGGGTTTTTTGCATTTGCCATTTTCCTTCCCATTCTTGGAGAGATCCTTTCAGAGCACTTTGCAATCCCTTTCTGCTTTAACCGCCCTGAACAATTTGGGGCCATCTACAAACTTGGCCACCTCACCACTCACCCCTAACTCCAGATCATTTGTGAACAGCTTAATTGGGAAGTAAAAGAAAACTTTGGCACATTCCTCCCAGTCAACATTGGGCCAACAATAACTTTCTCAAAGAGAGGTTGATTTGGGCAGAGGAGCCATTGTTCTAGTTCGGAAGAACAGTTTCCACTTGGCAAAGGCCTAAGAAGGATGTCAGATCCTAATCTACAGTCTTGCTGCAGTAAACTGGCTTTTCCCATCACCTTTTGCTGATCTGGGAACATAAGAATACAATGGCTGCAACAAATCAGACAGCTGTTTGTCTGGGTGCTTTTTCGTGGTGAGGTTTCTTATTCTTATTTTTATTCATTTAATTTCTATATCGCTTTACATTTTAAAAAAAAATCTCAAATCAGTTTACAACACCTTAAAACATCAAATAAAACAATCCAGAATAAAACAAATTCAAGCTTCAATGAAATATTTCAGATCGTTCTCTAAGCGACATTTTGCTTTCCTCAGTCGCCAACATCCAGAGATCTCCACGTGGTCGCAACTGGACCTACACTGGTCACAAAATGCGCCTTGCACCTGGCTAATTTCTAACACTGCTGTTGACATGTGTTTTAATCTGGTTTTTATCTTATTGTTAATGTTAATTATTTTTTGAAGGTTTTCAATGGTTGTTTTTTTGCCAATAGTTTTGTTGTTCTATTCTTTTTGGCAAACCACTTTGAAGTCTGTTTGTTTTGACAATTAGGCAGTATACCAATTTTATGAAATAAATATTAAGTGAAATAAACTGAGCTGTTCCTTCGCCTCTCCTTTGCTTGCACATTCCTTCACCTCCGCTAAGAAGGAGAGCACATTCCAATCCTGTGGATGTGCTGTATCGCAGCATCTGTGTCGCGCTTTTATGAACAACCTGGATCCCAAAGGAATAGAGAGTTTGGCATCTGCATATTTATAAGCCTCTGCATTATTCAGCTAGGCAAATGAAATGGCTTTGAAGAGTGAAAGTGGGCGGTGGGATGCAACCTGTCTCCATCATTGGAAACTGCCCCTCTTGACCCCTTGGCTGCATCCATCCATCCCACATTCACACACAAACACCCCTCAAAAGCTGGAAGAAGTCAAGCTGCACAAGAAATCGAGAGATCATAATTCAAGGGAGCCGTTCAGTCAGCAGCAACAGGTGTCCAGTGCAATCAATGGAAACCTCAAATGCAAAAAGGTCACAAAGACATCAAAACCCATCATGCAGTGCTCCTCGGCTGCCCACTCAAATCTATTTTGACTCTTTCCATAGCCTGAAACTCAAAGGCAGGTTTTATGGGATTTCCAGACAGACTCTGTCCTTCTGTTCAGACCCAGACCTGCTTGCCTTCCCTTGGGTTTCTGCATCCCCAGCCCTCCGGCCATGCCCAGGGAAGTTTTTTTTAGCTACCTTGAGCATCTTCCCACTCCAAACAGCAGCCACTTATGCCTAGGAGAGCTTCAGCAGTTAACCCTCGCCTGCCCTATTTCCAATGCCCCTTCAGAAGCGGTTAAGGCACTGCCGTTCATAGCTCTATCCTCATGCTGTGAAGGGAAGGAATGACTCTCATCTTCACCTATGGCATGGAAGACGGCACAGAGACAGTGTGCAACATTTTCATGGAATCACAGAATTGTAGAGTTGGAGGAGATCCCACTAAGGCAAAGCTCTTCCTCAAAATTTGACCGACTGATTCAACTCCAGCCTGAGCGTTTGCTGCACTGTGAATGCTGTTTGGTCCCGAGAGATGCATTATTTTTACTGAGCATGTGAATTTCACACCCTGTTATTAGGAACGTGGCCCCTGCCTTATAATGAGCCACACCACTGGTCCATCAAGCTCAGTGTTGGCCACACTGACCGGCAACAGTTCTCCAGAATGTCCTAGTCTTACCTGGAGATACATGCCAGGAATTGAACCTGGGACCTTCTGTATAAAAGGTAGATACCCTACCACTGAGCTAGGGGCCCACAGACTGCCCACAAGTGACGCAGCTTTTGAAAAGGCCCCAGCCATTTCTCTCTGGGTAGCAGAGCCCATTGAGTTTTCAAGGGGCGACAAGCAATGATGTCCCAACATCGTAAGATACAGAAACCAACATCATCCTGGCGATGAAGATGCCTTGCCCTCATCTCTCAAACAAACTCTCTCCATAAGTGCTGAGTGTATTCACTACTGTATCTGAACATTCATCTTGCATGGAGAAAACGAGTGAACTCTGCACATGCTCTGCACATGGCCCACCTAGTCCAGCATCCTGTTCTCACAGAGGTCAACCAGATGCCCCAATGGGATAGGAAACCCGCAAGCAGGATCCAAGCACAAGAGCCCTCTCCCCTCCTGTGGTTTCCAACAACTGGTATTCAGAAGCATCGCTGCCTTTGACCATGGACGCATTGCATAACCATCACGGCTAGTAGCCACTCCATGAAACCGTCCAAAGGTTGGTGACCACCACTGCCTCTTGTGGCAGTAAGTTCCATAGTTTAACAATGCGCTGTGTGAAGAACGACTTCCATTTCTCTATCCCGATGGGAACAACCTGGCTGTATAAATGGTAGGTTTGGCTAGGAACAGATAAGTGGGACGGTGGGGAGAAAACTTGCACCAGGAAGCATTGCTGCAAACTGGCAAAGCCTTCTGTAAATGGTGGCACCTGTGCTCTCACCTTCTAACAAGATCGCACCGTCCTACAGTCCTCCAGGAAATCTGAGCCCGCCAGCTCTTGCAAGTGAGGCTGGCAGATTAACGCAAACACTTCCAACTCGATTAAGGGGCCTTTCCGCCTGAGCATCTGAGCTTGACAGGAGCAGACTTTGTGGGGTCTGTGCCTGCAGGGTCCTGGGCCCACGCTTTCCTCCCCGCTAGGAACCCGACACACCTTTGCAATGTGCGCGCACACAAACACCTCTCTTTAAACCTCTCTTTTCCGGTAGGAACAAGAAACATTGTTCGAGAGAGCTTTAACATTCAAACACAACACCAAGAAATAATCGCCCCGACGTAAGGACAGGCTCCTGCTGCAGCTATCATGGCTAAGCTGCTTTGGGGAGCTTTAAAGAGATTGTTGGGAGCTTTAAGACAATTAAAGGGGAAGAATCAAGCAGCACGACTAACAAGGAGAGCACTTCATGGCAAAGCAGTGGCGGGGGGGGGCAGCACCTGTCTGCCCTCCCCATAAAAACATACAAAGAATTCTGCCAGGTCATTCCAAAGGCATGCCCTGGAGTTTGGAACTTTTTTCCAACTGGAGGGCCACATTCCCGCTTAGGAAACCTTTTAGGAGCCACTACCAACTTCCCCATCCTCCATCCAGGTAAACTACAGCCATCATCACAGACCAGGGACACATTCCAGGCAGTCACAGATACAAGAACCTGCTGGTTTCATTTCCTCTCTGTTTCTTGTTCTTCCAATCTTTACTTGAGTCTGCATTTTTTTTGTTTTAGGAAAAAAGGTGTCGGTGCCCAACATGAAGTTCTTATACAATAAATGCCACATTTTAACTGGGGACAGGGGGAGAGAAGGTGCTGATACTGCGTACCCTTGAGTCGCCCCAGAAAAGAAGCACTAACACCATGCATTTTCGTAGGTTACTTTCACTAATATACGCATTAACATGCACATTTTACCCTAGTACAGTGCGTCCCAATTTTCCCCTCCCATGGACCACTTGAAAATTGCTGGGGGTCTCAACAGACCACCTAATGACTTTTCTGCCCGTTGCAGCAATTGTACTGCGCTGTGCTAGACAATGGATAGTTTTTAATTGCATTTTTATTGCTTCTTTCATTTTCTTCTAGATTGTGTTTTCTTGTACAGTGGTACCTCGGGTTACATACGCTTCAGGTTACAGACTCCGCTAACCCAGAAATAGTACCTCGGGTTAAGAACTTTGCTTCAGGATGAGAACAGAAATCGTGCTCTGGCAGGGCAGCGGCAGCAGGAGGCCCCATTAGCTAAAGTGGTGCTTCAGGTTAAGAACAGTTTCAGGTTAAGAACAGACCTCCAGAACGAATTAAGTACTTAACCCGAGGTACCACTGTACTGCAATTTGCATTCCGTGGAATTCAAACTGTAATACATGAGAATACAACATAAGAAAGGAAAGAAGCAATAAAAATGCAATTACAAATCAACATGAATATCTATTGTGGATCACCTGATGAAGCTCATGGGCTGCTGGGGGTCCACAGTCCAAAATTTTGGAACAGCTGCCCTAGAATAGGCCTTTTTTTTTTTTTTTGCACACCTTCCTTGGCTAGAGAGCTGCACTGCAAAATTCAGAGATGTGTAAATTTCAAAGGATGGTTGTGTTCAGCTGATAGAGCATTAGACTCTTAATCTCAGGGACAGGGTCAAATGTTCCAGCCCCACATTCTGCAAAAAGATTCCTGCATTGCAGGAGATTGAACTAGATGACCCTTGTGGTCCCTTCCAGCTCTATGAATCTGTGTTCCGGTTCTCATACTGTTTTAAAGGAGTGTGAATTAGGTCGGTTTGCCTTTAAATGCAATATGAATCTTCCTGCTGCTGCCATGCCACCATGGCTCAATTTCTGTTCTCATCCTGAAGTAAAGTTCTGAACCCAAGGTACTATTTCTGGGTTAGCGGAGTCTGTAACCTGAAGCGCCTGTAACCCGAGGTACCACTGTACTTCTAAGAAACAGCGAGTGATTCTTCCGGCCTTTCCCAGGTCCTACCAGTGACAGTGAAAGAACAAAGCTCCCACAGCAGACTGGAAGAGACAGAGGCCATCCCCAGAGAACACTCTCTGACCATGAAAATATCATCCATTCACACATGCAGCCATGTCAAGCGCAGCGTTAGCTGGGCATGTAAACACAGATGACCACAGGGGGAGGGCTGTAGCTCAGCGACAAAGCATCTGCTTTGCATGCAGAAAGTCCTGAGTTCAAACCCTGGCATCTCCAGGTAGGGCTGGGAGGGACTCCTGCCTGAAACCCTGGAGAGCTACTGCCAGTCAGTGCACTCTCAGCAGTGTACAGTGAATTAAAAGCACAATTAAAACCCACACCTTGCCGCCAAAGTATCATGGGAACTGAAGCTTACCCCACACTACCCTTGATGGTTCCCAGGATTCTTGGGATGTGTGTGCTTTAAATATATGATGTATAGGCAGACAGTAATGTGGAAATTCATAAATTCCCAAATTTTTGATACTGGGGTGGGGTGGGGGAACCTGTGTACTTCTGATCCCCCCCCAACCCTGAGTGCATTTTGTAATCAACCTTCATAAGATTTTGGACAGCTACCTTACATGTCACAATCTCTTCCTAATGCGGAGATTATCAGCAATGTGGTGGGTGGAGTGGGAACCATTGTATTATTACCCAGTTGTATGAATTAGCAAGGTTTGCAATCTGAAGATGAAAAAATCTGCTGAGTATCTAGTTCAAGGGGAGAAAGCTTTCCCAAAAGAAAAATTGTCAATACCTGCAAGGTATGTGTACGATAATGAGGCCCTTTATTGTAAATAAGAATAATCATTTCCACACATTTCCAATCCCCAAACAGATCATTTCTGAACAGTGCGTCTGCGCCTCATGGTAAGCTGTGGTTAAAGGTTTATTGTGCATGAACAGAGTGCCCTGCTTTGCTCCACCCTGCTAGAGTGGGAGAAACAAACCATGGCCCTTGGCTTTGCACTGCGTCCAAACTGGGGACTGTGGTTTTTTTATCTGAAGCCAGAGTTTGTTCTTGGTGTTTCTGCGGGAAGCAACCCACAACCCCAGTGTTATGTCAGGGATCTTTGTCCATTGTTCCCACTTGCTAGCAGCAGAGGGATCACCTCTTCACAGGAAACTTTTAACTATGACTTAGCACAAGGATGGGAAATCTGTAGCCCTCCTGAGGCTGTTGGACTCCCAAAGTTCACCATTCTGGACCATTGGCCAGGGTGGCAGGAGCTGATAGGAGCCAGGACTCCAACAGAACCAGTGCAGCATAGTGGTTAGTGTATCAGACTAGGGCCTGGGAGGCCAGGGTTCGAATCCCCACTCAGCCATACAGCTTACTGGTTAACCTTGGGTCAACCACTGCTTCTCCGCCTAACCTACCTTACAGGGTAGTTGTGGGGTTTAAATAAGGAGGGGGAAGAACCCTTCATGCCACCTTGAACTCCTTGGAGGTGGGGTATAAATGCAATCAATAATATACAAGCAAACAAACAGTATCTTTAGGGTCACAGGCTCCCCACCCTTGAAGTTACCATGATGTACAACTGCAGCTAACTAGGTCCTGAATCTCACCCCCGTGTCCTGGCACAGAGACCCTGCAGCTGTGGCTTCGGAGCAGTCAATCAGTTGGTTGCCAGTGGCTAAATCATGATCACTTCCAGGCAGGGGAAATTTACCAGGCCTGGTTCTTATTTATTTTCCTGCAGGCTGCAAATGACTAACACAGGGTTACACCAGCCAGAAGCTGAGTAAGAGAACCTGGAGGCCAGCGCTTCTGGTCAACTTATTTGCAAGGCTGAACTTCCCAACACAGGAGCAGCCACCATGGTGATGCCCCTCCTCAGATGTTGCTGGACTCTGGCCCCCTCCAGTGCGGTGGTGGGTTTTTTGCAGGTGTTTTCTGCAACATGACATTGGTGCAATAATAGTGCATTAGGGGTGGATTTCTGCTGGGTTGTCCTCATATCATTCTGCTTTGTCAGTTGTTCTGAGAAGCTTCCCTCGCATCATTGCTGTCCAGAGGGGTCCACTTTCAGAAGAACAACTCAAAGCCTCAAAGCCATGTCTGTGAGCTGAAAAGTTACAGGGTGTCAGCGGGAAGTTGCAGGACATGTGCAGATCGTACATGAAGTAGTGTGGCCTCTGTGAAACTTTTGCAGGTACAAGGGGTATTAAAAATGGGGTCACAGAATCATAGAATACAACTCTACACAGAACTGTAACTCCACAAAAACAATTGTAGAGTTGGAAGGGACCCAAAAGGAATGTCTAGTTGCCGTTTTTGGGTAAGTCTTATTTTTCAAATTATTATTATTATTATTTATACCCCCCACCCATCTGGCTGTGATTGATTCTCAGTTAAACATCTGGCTAGTTCTGATGACTACCTTGAGCTAGTTTAAAAGTTTTGAGAACTTAAGGAAGAAAAGTCACTTGATGCAGGGAGAGTCCACACATATATATTGGCCTATTCCAACCTCTTTTTATTAATGGTGACTGCTCTTGCTCAGGCTGCACAGAAAAAAAACATTTTGATTCCAGAAATGAATTCCAATTGTGCAGATAGAATATAACTGATAGATTCGGCAGGATGCGTTGCTAGTGTGTGGTTCTCCCAGGATGCACCTCCAGATGGTAGAGATGTCAGGTGCCATCCTGATGCCCAGGTATCTTCATTTGGAAGCAAGTGGTCAATAGCCAGGTGCAAAATGCACCTGGCGAATTTCAAATGCTGTACTGGAGTTGGAGTCCAACACGATCTGGAGGACACCATGCTAGTTACTACTATACAGAAGGGTGACATGGCTGGATCAGGCCAACGAGGGCAAACCTAATCCTGCATTCTGTTTTGACAGTGACCAACCCCTGACAGCCAATGTGGTGTAGTGGTTAGAGTGCTGGACTAGGGCCCCGGAGAGCAGGGTTCCAATCCCCACTCGGCCACAAAGCTCACCTAGTGACCTTGGGCCAATCGCTGCCTTCTCTCAGCCTAAGCTATCTCACAGGGTTGTTGTGGGGATTAAGTTAGGAAGCAGAGAACCACAGGCACTACCTTGAGCTCCCAGGAGAAAAGGTGGGGTATAAAGGCAAAAAAATGAAATAAACCAATGGGAAGCCTCAATGCAGGACCTGAGCTTGACCACAGTGCTCTCCTCACCATTGATTCTCATCAACTGGTCCTCAATAGTGGAGGGAGAACGTAAGCAACATGGCTGGTAGCCACTGACAGCCTCATTCGCCTCCATGAATTTCTCCAGTCCTCTCTTAAAGTCATCCCAGTCACCTTGAGCAGACTCGCATATTTCTTCTCACCACGACTGCTGCCTTCCTACAAGTGCGATTAGCCCCAAGCACCATCTCAGACTTGGAGCTGCAGAGGTGGAAAGAGGTCATCTTGGTAGCTGCATGGCTGATCTCTCCACCCTGCCCAGATAAACTTTGGCTGGAAAGGGGGAAGCAGGGAGCTGTTTGGCCACAGGGTGTGGCAGAGCCAGCAGGGGTGCCTCAGCTACACAGCGGCCCAACCAGGACATCTAACTCATAGGAACGCAAGAAGCTGCTTGATATACAGAGTCAGATTCTTGGTGCATCTAGCTCAGTATTGCCTACAATGGCAGGCAGCAGCTCTCTGGGTTTCAGGCAGGAGTCTTTCCCCAGCCCTCCCTGGAAGTGATGGAGATTGAACCTGAGATCTTCAGTGGATGCTCTGCCACTCAGCTAGGAAAGGAAGCAGAGAGTGCTCAAAACTAACCAGGCACCAGCTGCATTCTGCAACAGGCAACCAGCCTTTGGCGAGGAAGCGGACATGTCTGGTTGTCAGGTTTGGCAACTAACATCTCCATCCAGCTAGCCTGCACCGCTGCCGTGCCAAACCAGTCAGCTGGCTTGCGGGACAGCACGGCATTGAAACAATCTCCACTTCTGGTGCCGTGCTGCAATCAGTGGGTCTGCGGGGCAGCACGGCACCAAACGACGCACGTATTTCAGTGCTTTGTGAGCCAACCGATTCATGCAGCAGCACGCCCCCAGCTCCTCTTTCGGTGCTGTGCCTAGGGATTCTGTTATGGCCAGTGTGGTGTAGTGGTTAAGAGCAGTAGATTCGTAATCTGGGGGACCGGGTTCGCGTCTCCACTCCTCCACATGCAGCTGCTGGGTGACCTTGGGCCAGTCACACTTCTTTGAAGTCTCTCAGCCCCACTCACCTCACAGAGTGTTTGTTGTGGGGGAGGAAGGGAAAGGAGAATGTTAGCCGCTTTGAGACTCCTTAAAAGGGAGTGAAAGGCGGGATATCAAATCCAAACTCTTCTTCTCTTCAATGGCGACTGAAACCTAGGCGTAAGGTGCCATCTGGCTCCTAGCTTTTATAGCTCAGTTTCTACCACTGGGAGCAGACTATAGTCCCTGACCTTAAAAGTAGGCAAAAAAGCAAAGTCAGCCATCGATGGGAGAAGGATCCCACTGGCCACAAAGCTTGGTTTGACTACCAAGTCTAGACAAAAACTGTGGCACTTAAGGCTGACTCCAAATCTCAGGCTCTGAATTGCTCTCAACAACAACAACAATAACGGTACAAGCATATTTTGCCTTCAGGATTATGATAAGGCCGAACACCCAGCTAGAACAACGTCAATGAAACTTTGGGGGGGGCATCATAAAACAGAACCAGCTTCACCTTTTTTGCAGTCTGGGGTCACTGACCCACAGCAGCCCTGACCATATCCCGCTAAGAGTCTGGGGGTGGAGATGGCTCCCACTGAATAGCCCAGGACAGTAGTACCTAGATGAAATATTTAATGGGTAGGGGGCAGAAGAGAGACCTCTTCATCCCCACATGAGGCCTGAGTATCTGGGCATCTACCCAAGTCCCGTCTCCTCCTTATTCCCCACCCAAATGAGAGGATAGGCCTCCCCATTTTTCCAACAATGGTTTTCAGAGCAACCACCAAGAGCCCTTTCACCTGACTTTGTCACTGACCTCATGTTCTGAGGTTAGTGGATGAGTGTGCAGTGACAGGATCCAAGAGAAGGGCCTTTTCAGTAGTGGCTCCACATCTGAAAAATGCTCTTCCTACTACAGTCTATCTAACCACTTTTTCATTTTTTAAGGAAACAGTTGACCCCTTGTAGGAGGCTTTTGGATGAGCGTATCTGTGACCAAAATAGCATACAAATAACTTGACACTACTGCTTATTAAAGGGACGCGGGTGGCACTGTGGGGTAAACCACAGAGCCTAGGACTTGCCGATCAGAAGGTCGGCAGTTCGGATCCCCGCAACAGGGTGAGCTCCCGTTGTTCGGTCCCTGCTCCTGCCAACCTAGCAGTTCAAAAGCACGTCAAAGTGCAAGTAGATAAATAGGTACCGCTCCAGCGGGAAGGTAAATGGCGTTTCTGTGCACTGCTCTGGTTCACCAGAAGCGGCTTAGTCATGCTGGCCACATGACCCGGAAGCTGTACGCCGGCTCCTTCGGCCAATAAAGCGAGAGGAGCACCGCAACTCCAGAGTCTGCCACGACTGGACCTAATGGTCAGGGGTCCCTTTACCTTTACTGCTTATTATGAATTGCATTTATATCATTATTTAAATCTTATTTCTTTTGAGTGTGTATTTTATTGATATTATGTTACGCACAGACATTGTGTTGTTTAATATGTTGCAAATTGCCCCGCAGCTTTTTGACAATATATATATTTGTCAAATATATATATATATATACAGTATATATCTTATATGAATAGAATAAGGGATTTTGGGCAATCCCAGTCCCTCAAAGGATAGACCCCAGTATGATGGACCAGAAATCTCTAATGCACTCTGTCCCTAAAAGCATTCCCACAGCTGCTACAGGATCCCTTCATTCAAAATAAATACATAGGTTTCAAGTGGGGCAGAGCGGCTGTTATTAGGTAGCACCAGAGACGAGAAGCCCTCTTGGACAGGGGTCACAGTCGAAGGATTTCCAATTTGGAGGCAGCACTTCCAGGAAGCGCAGGTCGGTGCATTCCTGTGTGCGAGCGTGAAGAAGCCCAACTCAAGGCTGCATCACCTGCAATCACGCCCAGGTCTCAGAGGCGAGAAGTGTTTGTCCAAAGGCCAAGAAAGCTGCAGGAGCTCAGCATTTCTGCAAAGTCTTGGCATTGGGCAATTGACGCTGCAACACGCACACACCCATTAGCTGGGAAGCACAGCAGGCTGCACAAAGCAGATTTCCCCCAACTCTCTCACACACAGTGGGCTCAGCCCCAAATAGATGGTGGGGCGAACAAACCCCCTTTGAGTGTCACGCAATATACAAATAAAAGGACAGACTTCTGAACTTCTGCTGTCGACCAAGGCAAAAATCAGGTAATGTAAGGAAGGAAATCCCTTGTAAGGGGAACAAGATCCTGAATCCCATGGTGATCTGCCTGGAAAGCAAACCCCAGACCCATTTGCGGCAGAGACCTTTTCAGGGGCACCAACCCAGGTAGAGCATTCCAAGATCCCTTGCACCGCTGCATGTCACACACCCCACCATCCTCCATGGCATTGTAATGGACTCTTGGGGCAAACCGTTTATATTACACGGTATGGAAAATATATTGTTCTGGCCTGGGGGGTCAGCAATGAGGGACATCAAACCAGCTTGGGGAGGTGAGCTAAAGGTAGCAAGCCCCTCTCAACAGCCCCTGTTTCTGCCCAAGTCCAGGAAACTGCTTTCCACCAAGTCCATCTAGCTCAATATTGTCTACACTGACTGGCAACAGCTCCCCAAGGTTTCAGAACATGCCCAGCTTTAAATGGAGACGCTGGTGACTGAACCTGGGACCTTCTGCATGCAAAGCAGATGCCCTACCGCTGAGCTGCAGCGCTTCCAAGACCAACATCCCTGCTAGGGCAACTTTCCAGCTCTACAACTGTATGAGTCTATGAATACACAATTGGAACAGAACACATATTTTATGCCCTGACTTTTCCTCGACTCATCAGTCTGCCCCCCCACCCCCGATTTATGTATATGAATTCTCCTGATTCTTTTTTTGATTTGCTTTTATACTGTTTCATTATTGATGTTTTCTTTCTGCACAGGACTAACTCAAACCTAAACCCAACAACTCCCGCAATAACCAGGACTACTCAGCTGCCCTCTGACAAAATGCCTAAGGACCCCTCCCAGGCTGGTGTTTTCTGCAACATCTCATTGATGGCAATAACATATTAGTAGCAGATTCATACCAAACCATCCACATGTCACTCTGCTTTCATCAGTTGTTCTGCGATTGTCCCCCAATGTTACTGCATTATTGCCATCCAGAGGGGCACTCCTGCGCTATAGCGCAACCAAAGCAGAATGACACACCACTCGGGAACACTTGTGGCATGAAAACTTACAAGATTTCAGCAGGAAAGCGCAGGACATGCACCGCTGGGAAATGGAAGCAGTCTGACCGCTGTGAAACTTCTGCAATTGCAAACTGTTCTAAAAAGAGGACGACGTCTAACCATCCTGAGCGCAAAACATGGCAAATGCAAAACTAATAGGATGTCTGGAGGGGCAACAAGTCTCCAGATTCCCAGGCCTCAGCCTTCCCAGCCTATTTTCAATGCAAGACTCAAATGCTCCATACATCACAGAGTATTGACCAGGAATCCGCACACACATCCGAGGACCAGCCAGATGGAGTTCCTCCCACAGCGAGCCAGCGATGCTTTCAGATGGAGTGGAAATCTGATACCTCTTCTAGAAATTGAGCACCAATCTGATCCCAGTTCCCCCTAGCTAAGATGTCACAGGCTGCTCAAAAATCAGTTCCTTCTCCGCAAAAATAAAATAAAATCCAGCCATCCTTGCACGCGGCTACAGGAAAGCATTTCAGAAAGGACTGGCAAAGCCAGGTAAAAAATTATGGCCACACAGCTCCCCTTTGAGCCAGACCTAGCCCAGAAAGGGCCGCTCGTTCCAGGCCAAGGAGGAAAGGATGCCCACATCCCCTTGCCAGTCTGACACGTCTCAAAGTGCAGAAGGGAAGCCACAGCGGGCACCTCTTATCTGGAGAGCGGGCAGCAAGCAGCGTACTACAACCCAGGGATGGGTATGGTGCCAGAGGCACTGCACACGGCCTTGGCACTCAGGCACCAGCTCCCTCCAGGCACTCGGAACCACTTTGCCCTCGCAGAGCTCTTCAGCCTCCCTTAATCCACTCGGTGCCAGCGCCAAGGCAATTCTCTGCTATGTCGCTGATATCAAATAGAAAACGCAACCTGGGGCAACAGTCACTGGCTAACAGGAGAGGAGCTCGTCTCTCACTCAGTTGCACTCGAGAGTTCAAAGCCAGCAGGAGAGACACCCCAGTGGATAAGCGTGGCACCTTCCTTGCCACCCCCCATGCCAGTTTGCCATGTGAGTGGGCAGGTGGGTGTGGAGCAGCAATGTGTGGCGAGGCGAGTAACGCTGAATTTCATCTCGCCTCCCTCCCCCTCCCAAAAAACACACATCACCAGCGTAAAGCCTGTTTACATGGGCCAGCAGCGCTGAGAGTCACTCCGGGGTGGTACTGTGGAATGCCACAACATCTTGCCTTGTTTAGGCAAGTGCCCCTTCCCCCAGCAGCCCTGGACACCCCCTCCTCCGGGGGGGGGGGGGAATGGGCTCAGAGCCAACCAAAACCCCAATGCCAGCCTGGAATAAGGGAATGAGCAGGAACCACCCTGGCTGGGTGTGGGTGAATATCGGGGGGGGGGGGCGGGTGTCACGGGAGGGGGAGGGGCAGCATAATGCAGAAGAGCAGCAGCAGCCCCCTCCGCCCCACCCTCTGCAAAGAGGTTCCTGATGCCATCTGGGGAAGGGATCCTTCCCCTAGACTCCCTCCCCCCACCCACCCCAGGAGCTGGGCATCCATCCAGGCAGAAGGCGCGCTCTGGGTTGCATCCCGTTCCTATTTTTATTCTTTCAAAGGCCAGGTGGGGGAAGAGGAATTAAATCGAGGAATTAATTGGGGGGGGGGAGGATAGCGCTGGTCACTCACTGGCTTTGCCCGGCTTGGGCCTCTGCAGCAGCTTCTGCACCGCCCCGATGTCCTCCGCCTTCACCGCCTGCATCAGCTCCTGGTCTTTGCCCATGGCGAGCGCGGGGAGACCGGCCCCCGGGGGCGCGGAGGGCCGGAGGGCGAGGGACGCTCAGAGCCCGCGCATCCCCGCCGGCTCGGATCGGGTCCCGGGCGAGCGCGGAGGTGGGGTGTCGCCTTCTCCTCCTCCTGCGGCGGCTGCAGATGCTGCGCGCAATGGAGACGCGCGGCGGTGGCAGCGGCGGCCGGAGCGCAGCGCCTGGCGGGCGGGCGGGGACCGGGCTCGGCTGCTTTGCGGCGGCGCCGCGGCGGCTAGCGCTGCCCGGCTGCGCTGGGGCTCCTCCCGGCTCCGGCTCGGGCTGTTGCCGCCGCCTCCTTCTCCCCTGGTGGCGGCAGCGGCGAGCCCTCCATGGTCCGGGCGCGCTGGAGCTGCAAACGCGACGCGACGCCTCGCCGCGCTCTGCTCCTGCTGCTGCAGCCGCCGCCGCCGCTCCGGAAGGAAGGCGGATCCCGCCGCAGCCTCGCCTGGGCGGGGGGCCGAGGGCGGGGGGCATCCGGGCGGAGCCCCCACCTCTGCTTCCCGGCTTCCCTCCCGCCTCTTCTCCGCCGAGGAAGCTCGATGTGGTTGCCACCGTCGCCTCCGCTGGGGTGGTGGAGGGGAAGGGGAAGAGCAGCGGCGCAGGGCGAGAGGGTCTCTGAGCGCGTGCAGAATGCCCGGCCTGGAAGGACGGGAAAGACTCTCAGCCTCGGAGGGCAGGATTGGACGTGCCCTCAAAGGCCTTTTCGGGGACGTTTTGAGAAAGACCAGAGGGCAGCCAACCATGTGCAGAGAGTCTCGAAGGGCTTGTGCCCCCGTCTCTCTCGTTCGACCCAAAGCACCTGGGCTAAAGTGGGGCTATCGACGCAGAGCTTGAAATGTCTTGCCCAGTGCCAGGGATGGTAGTTTCTGAGCGTAGGCAGAGGACGTTCTTGAACCCGCAGCAAAATTAAAGGGCACCTGTAGGGGGCGGTATTTGGTCTTGCAGCAGGAGTTTGCAGCAGGTTACTTAGCGAGAAGGAAAGGCTTCTGCTGTCGTTTTGTTTGTTATTTTAATGCTGGTCATTTATTTATTGGCTAAATTTATATACTGACTTTCTTCCAAGTTGCTCAAGGAAGGGGAGCTGGTTCCTTCCCTCTGACCTCCCCCTGATCTTCGCCACAACCCTGTGAGGCAGATCAGATAACAATTGACCCAACCAGTGGAGAACCTGAGCCATTAATCAACACTCCACCACACTGGCTCTCATTGCCTGCACTGAAAGAGATTCAGGGGCTTACGCTCTTGCAAGTCCTCCTGGTTCAGATCACGGACCGCTCCTCAGTTTTGTGAGGCTCCCACAAGGTGTGGACAGAGGCCGTTCCTTTCTTTCACAGGGGACAAAACGGCTCAGTTATTATCCCCATTTCACAGATGGATTGCCGTGGCCAAGAGTGCATGGAAGACGTGGCGAAGGCTTCTCCATCGAGCTCTGGGCCTGAGACGTTGGTGGAAAGAACAAGGCCTCTCTTTTCTCCTCTGGCATGGGAAGGAGGCTTCTAGAAGAGGTATCCGGCCAAGCCACCCACCCGCTCTCAGATCTTGACAGCTGCTTTGGCTTGGAACCAGCTCTGGCATTTGAACCCACTACTGTGTAGGTAGCCAGCAGAGGGCCTGGAAGGAAGGCTTTGATCAGGATATCCTTCCGGGGGCTGGCAGTGGCTGAAGCTTATCTATAAATAAAAAATGCAGGTTTTGCACAAAGCCAGCCCTGCTCAGTCAATACTGCAAAATCTGACTCTGGGGCAGCCATTGTCAACCTGGTGCCCTCCAGATGTTTTGCACCCAGTAGGATGCCAGGGCTGATGAGAGGGCAGTTGTGCTGGCTGGGGCTGATGGGATTTGTATGATGTCAGAATCAGGGCTTTTGTGCCCTGCCCTGCGGAACTCCCTCCCACTGCAATTCAGACAAGTGCTTGTCTCTGTTGTCTTCCCTGCTAAATATTTTTTTCCCCTCTTTCAACAAAGAAGGGGATTAGCAAATTTTGTCCTGGTTTCGTCTATTGTTATTACAACTTTTTTAAAGTTTTAAATTACGTATTGTTAGTTTTTCCTAAGAATTTTATTGTTTTGCCTTTTTTGTAGACAGCTTTGAGGTGGGGTTTTTTGTTTGTTTGTTTTTACAATCAAGTAGAGTATAAATTATATATCTCCTCAGCTGCTATCTACATTGGATTTGAAATAGCATTTATCTATTTCAAAGCCATTCTAAACTGCTTAATATTTTTTTAAAAAAATTCCTTGTCGGTTTATTACGTCCAATATAAAAAACAGTATCCATGACAAAGAAAACATCAGCCTAACATCAATAATGAAACAGTATAAAAGCAAATCAAAAAAAGAATCAGGAGAATTCATATACATAAATCGGGGGTGGGGGGGCAGACTGATGAGTCGAGGAAAAGTCAGGGCATAAAATATGTGTTCTGTTCCAATTGTGTATTCATAGACTCATACAGTTGTAGAGCTGGAAGGGACCCCATGGGTCATCTAGTCCAACCCGCTGCAATGTAGGAATCACAGCTTAATTCCTCCCTTTTTCTGGCTTCTCTTGTGCAATATAAATCTGACTAGGATTTGTTCGCCACACTTGCGTTCCTATGTGCAATTGTCTTAACTGTTCCTATGCAATTGTCTTGTGTAGTTTGCTATTGCATTGTGAAGTGGCCTGGAGGTGCATCCTAGGAAGCAATACATTAATGAAATAAAAACAGCAATAGTCTGAAACATCTGGAGGGCAACGGGCTCAGGGAGGCTGTTCTAAGGACTGCCTACAAGGACCCCCCCAAACCCCTGGAGACCAGGCCTCAAAGAAAGCAGCAGCATCCGCTGCAGCAAGATTAAAGGGCAGATTAAACGGCTTCACCCACCCCCAATCGTGGAATCCCAAATGCCCTGGATTGGAAAGTGGGGGAAGGGAGCCCTGCCATGCTGGGTGGCCGGCTAGGATGCCATTTGTGCTGGGGGCACAGCCTGGGAAAAGGAGGGGCGGCAATTGGGCCAGGTTAGAGATGGCTTAGCCCAGTTAGCCGCTCAGGAATCCACCTGGCAAGCAGAGTTCCCAGGGCTTGGCAGCTACACGGTATATTTTATTCCTTTTCTTCTGGGTTTCTGATGTGACGAAGCCTCTCTCTCTTCTGGCAGAAAACGGGGGTTGGGGGTATAAATAAATGACTTCCTTTACTTACTGCAGGCTAATGCATATAAGTGCATGCTTCCATTTGAGTGAACAGATTGAAAATCCCTTCACTCCATTTGCTTGTGCCAAACAGGGAAAGGGGGCTGCAGGTGGAAGGGGGGGCTTGAAGATGAAGCCTGACATTTTCTCCCCAAGAAAATGAGATGGGCAGAACAAAATTGAGTTTTATTTACTCAAGCCTTTGGATCCAATTGTGTGTTGCCCGTGCTGTTTTAATACTCTGATGGTGACGGTGTACGGAAGTTCGATTGGATTTTATATTTTTAAATTATGAGTATTTTATTGCTATCTTGCTTTTATCTTTTTTTATATGGTTTGGTTACTCTGTACTCCTGGCAGACCAAAGGTAGGGCACAGAAGTGACGTATAGATAAGTCAGGCAGCAGGAGAGCAAAATTGCTTTAGCCAGTTTTGGGACAACCTTTTGCATTTGTTCCACTCCTGCACCCCCTTTTGCCTGACTAAAGTATATTTATTTTGTAATTTTATTTATTTGTTTCTTAAAATGTATATACTGCTTAATTGCTATTTTAAAAACCCCTCAAAAGTACAGTGGTGAAAGTTTCCAGGTCCAGCCTTGATTGAATTTTTGCCACCCGCAGGGACGGCACCACCCTGTTTTGGCTCTGTTTAATTGCTAAAAACCTTGGATTGCCGCAACCTGAGTCCACATTCCAGCAACTTCTGCTCCAGGACTGACAGATCATGGAACACAGTTCTAGACCCCAGTTTCATTAGTGACCAGTGCCCTTGGACAGGGTCTGCTGTCGCAGAGCTACAAGAACTGACTGAAGACATTTCAAGCATTTCATCTCTCCTCCATAATGCTGGGAACCAATGGGAACATCCAAGGAAGCTGAATGTTGGAAGGTGCAGGACAAATGAAAGGAAGTCCTTTTCCACACAGCACATTTGGAACTCACTCCCCACAAGAGGCAGGGATGGCTACCAGCTTGGATGGCTTTGAAAGAGGATTCGACAAATTCAGGCAATGTATTTTAAACATGCATTTCATAAAATGCATACACTGCTTGATAGTTAAAAAACAACAACTACAAGACAAAAAGAATAAAACAACAACATTAGTGAAAACAATTAAAACATTCAGAAATTAAAACCAGCAATATGCTAAAAGCACATGAGCATTCAAGATATCTGGGTAGCCTTGTCCAAACAAAAATGTTTTTAGCAACTGCTGAAAAGAGTACAGTGGTACCTCAGGTTACATATGCTTCCGGTTACAGACTCTGCTAACCCAGAAATATTACCTCAGGTTAAGAACTTTGCTTCAGGATGAGAACAGAAATTGTGCTCTGGCGGTGCGGCAGCAGTGGGAGGCCCCATTAGCTAAAGTTGTGCTTCAGGTTAAGAACAGTTTCAGGTTAAGTACAGACCTCCAGGACAAATTAAGTACTTAACCCGAGGTACCACTGTACAGTGAAAAGGCTTGCCTGAAATCAACAGGCAGGGAGTTCCAGAGTGTACATCTGGTGCCAACCTGCTATGAGATTGATTCCTTACAAATGCCCCAAGTTGTTAAGAATGCTGTATGCTAACGTCCTGAACTTTGCACAGTAGCAAATGGGCAACCTGTGCGGATCTCTGAGCACCGGGGTTGTATGCTGAAAAGGCCTTACTCTGGTCAGCAATTGTGCTGCAGCATTCTGCACTCACTGCAGCTTCCGGATCAAGCGCAACAGAAGGCCCACACAGAGCGTATTGCAGTACAGTATTCTAGTCTTGGAAGTAACCAGTGCATGAACTATTGTGGCCAAGCTTTCCCAGTCCAGGAATGGCAGGCAGGGCTTCAACTGGTAGAGGTATTCGATGCACTGGAGCATCAGCAGCACTTCCTGGTCTATTAACCAGCCGCATTGCTCTGGGCGAGGTCCTTTGCCGTCTCATTACCTCCCAGGCTGCCGTAATGGTGATGTTTCTGTACCCTGATAATGTTTCGCTCATAGAAGTCACAGCCGGGCCTAAAGGTCAACCGGCAGACACTCCATCCCAAACAGCGATTACAGTCTTATTTAGAGGAAAAGGCTATCTTCCAATATCAAGAGCTTCCAGCAGGGAGTCGTTGTGAAGCCTTTGCAAACAGCCTTGAAGCTGGGAGGTGGGAAGAAGGTAGATTGGGATCTGCTAGGAGATCTCTGAATGATTTCGAGGGGATCATTAGGGATTATATGTGCCCCCCCATATGTCCTTTTTATTGTGAATTTATGATTATTTGCTCTTGTGGTTGTATATGGTCAGTTAGAAGTGATCCCACATCTGCACCTGCCAAGGTTTTGGGGCAGACCTACTGTTGCATTATGCCTTTAGGTGGCAGCTGCTAGGAGTCACAAGTGGGCAAAGTACTATTGAGGGTTTCCCACTGGGACATCTGGTCAGCTGCAGGATGCTGAGCTACATGGTCTCATCTAGCAGACTTGTCTTACCTTCTTATTTCCACCTAGCAGGGAGTGCCTGGCGCTGCCCAGGAATCTGTACAAACAAACAAACAAACAAACAAACAAAAATGTAGTTTTTAAGTGGATGGTGACATTTGTGAGTTTGGACACATCGCACCAAGAATCAGCTGAAGTCGTGCCAAGGTCACATTTTGGTCCACCATCTTGATTCAAAATGGTGCCTGGCATCCAAAGACTGCCGCCCCCTGTGCATAGTTTGGTGACAAGATCTCAAGAGGCGTCCAAACCCCTAAAGAACAGACCAGACAGGCAAACCACTTTCCAAAATACATAGCAGATCAGTGCATGTTCCCTAGCTTCCTGCTTAAATCCTATAACTTTTCATACAACCATGTATATGGCATGGATGCAATTCTTGGATATCAGTTTGTTCCCAAGCGTCACATTCACACCATGCTTTTAAAACCCTTTGGAGGTCCCCCCTCCAAAAAATTCTGGGAGTTGTAGTTTGTTAAGGGCACTGATAGTTTTTAGGAGGCCCTTATTCTACTCCCAGAACTATAAATCCCCTGTGAGGTGTGTTTGATTGTTAAACTAATCCAGCACAGCTCTCAGCAGCCTTAAAAATTACCGTTCGCAGAATTACTTGGGGGAAGCCATGACTGTTTTTAAAGTGCTTCAAATGTACGATGCAGATTTGGACCTCCTCACTATGCCACCCTCATTCAGGAAAATCATTCTGGGTCTCGTCCTGGGATGACTCAAGTTGCTCTCTTTTCCCCTCTGTTCATCTGGCTGCAGCCTGCTAGAATAACCTCTTTGCCTCTACCTCTGTGATCTGCCAGCCATGCCAGGCTAGGCATTCATGCATGGTGGCATCTGTCCGCCCAGCCCTTAATCCAAAGACCTCCCAGTTTATTAGAGAACAAGAGACGGGCTTAAGCAGCAGCAGATGCTCTAGGCAGCGGAAGGGCAGGAGACCTGTTTAATCAGCTTGCTGCAAACTGGTTCCATTCTTCAAATTGACTGGGTGATGGGTTGAGGGATTGCTGGTGCCAGTGCAGCATGGCAACCAGGGTGAGCCCAGGACTGGCAGCACCAACTCCAAACAGCTCACATACACACACCATGGAAGGGACCACAAGGCTCATCTAGTCCAACCCCCTGCAGTGCAGGAATCGTTCACCCAAAGTGGGGCTTTAACCCACAACCCCGAGATTAAGAGCCTCATGTTCTACCGGCTGAGCTATCCCAGTCATCCTGGGAAAAAGTGACAACTGGGGTGCTGCGGGGCTCAGTCCTGGGTCCAGTGTAATTCGATATCTTTATAAATGTCTTAGATGCAGGAATAGTGGGGATGTTCATCAGATTTGCAGGTGATGGCAAATTAGGAGAAGATAGATTCAAGATGACCTTAACAGATTGGAGAACTGGGCTGAAACTAACACAGTGAATTTCAATAAGGACAAATGTAAGGTTTTACAGATGCACAAATATAGGATGGGGGGCACCTGCCTTGACAGTAGTACGTGCGATAAGGATCTAGCAGTCTAGTAGATCACAAGCTTAACACGAATCAACAGTGTGATGCAGCATTAAAAAAAGAAGCTAATGCAATTCTAGGCTGCATCAGCAGAAGTATAGTGTCCAGATCAAGGGAAGTAATAGTCCAACTCTATTCTGCCTTGGTCAGAGCCCACCTCGAGTGGTGTGCCCAATTCTGGGCACCACAGTTTAAGAAGGATATTGACGAGCTAGAAGGTAACCAAGATGATAAAGTGTCTGGAAGCCATGCCTTATGAAGAACAGTTGAGGGAACTGGGTATGTTTATCCTGGTAAAGAGAAGACTGAGAGGAGATATGATAGCCATCTTCAAATGTCTCAAGGGCTGTCACATGGAAGATGGAGCAAGCTTGTTTTCTCCTGTTCCAGAGGGGAGGACTCAAACCAATGGATTCAAATTATAAGGACAGACTTCCTTGAAAGGTCATGGACGCTCCTTCAGAGAAGGTTTATAAGCAGAGGTTGGATGGCTCTCTTGCAGGGAATCTTTAGCTGTGATTCCTACAGTGTTAGACTAGATGCCCCTTGGTTCTATTATCATGGTTTGCTGAGAGGCTCTCTTACACAAATCCCTTCCAGAGGAATGCAGATGGTGCAAAAGCGTCACTTCATGCCAATGTTGGACTTGTGCAAGAGAATCTCCCTTTGGGCTTGGATCCCTCAGTCTCTCACACAACTGCATGCCTGATGCCCCCCGCCAGCAGCCACCTGTGGGAAGGCTGCCTCCAAGATCAACTTCTATGGTTGCTAGACACAGACTTGCTTGGGGATTTCCACATGACAGGTCAGACAATACCCTGCTGCAACAAAATGTCGCAGCCTATCCCCACCCGCTTAGAAATGTTCTCATTCATGGCTCAAGCAGCTTTGTACAGGAACAGGAGCCTTGTATAGGAAGCTGCCTTACATTGAGTCAGACCATTGGTCCATCTAGCTCAGTATTGTCTACACTGACTGGCAGCAGCACTCCAAGATTTGGACAGAAGATCTTCCCAGCCATACCTGGAGATGCTGGAGATTGAACCAGGTACCTTGTGCATGGAAAGCAGGTACTCTACCCCTGAGCTACAGCCCTTCCCATGGCTTGCAAGCCTCTCAAAGAGGTGGGGGGTGGAGGACAGAGGAAGGGGGAGGCATGTATTATTTCCTTTTCCCCTCCCAAGGCTATTTGCTGCTGTGGCACCACCAGAGTATCCTTGTACTCCAGTAACATCTAGAGGGCACCAGGTTGGGGAAGCCTGCTTTTGGGCAAGGACAGCTAAGGTCAGCAACATAATTTTGAGCATTTTGAAGCACGGGTGTTCAAGATAGCAGCTGACACCCCTCTCCCCGAGAGTCCAAAAATGCAGGCAGCTGGGCTAACAAAACAGAGATATTAAAGTCTTCGCAGAAAAAAGCGTTCCAGCTTCCGCCTTCTTCAGCTGCTCTGATTTGAATCAAAGAGGGCTGCTGGAGCCAAGGTGGTAGTTATCTTACACTGAGAGGGTGGCACATTCAGAAGTGTGGCATTTTCTGTAGGCTGCAGCTGAGGGGTGTTGGGTCTTATCCTTTGGCTACATGGCTAAGGTGTTCCAAATACAGTGGTACCTCAGGTTAAGAACTTACTGTAATTCGTTCCGGAGGTCCGTTCTTAACCTGAAACTGTTCTTAACCTGAAGCACCACTTTAGCTAATGGGGCCTCCCGCTGCTTCCGCTGTTCTTATCCTGAAGCAAAGTTCTTAACCCGAGGTACTATTTCTGGGTTAGCAGAGTCTGTAACCTGAAGCGTATGTAACCCAAGGTACCACTGTACATGGATCCAGGAGTTTTTCCTGGATCAGAGGCTTCTCTATTTCAATTACTCTGCTCTCCTTTTGCAATAAATGAGTGAGTCTGTAATTATCTAACTCTGAAGAGCTTCAAGACTGGTTCCAGTCTGACACATCCTAACCGATGCAGCTCCCCTCTGTTCTTGAATCTGCCTTCATTCAAGCAGGACACCCCCTTTTAACAGCCTTCCTTTTGTACCACCGTTTTACAAGCAAAGATTGAAGTGTCAACTTGCTATATAGCACTTTGTCGTCAAGCTTTCGATATTGTCTCTCAAGGCCTTGGGATTTATGCACCTTTGTTCTAAATGTTCACCACTGGAATGTTGTAAGATTCTGGACAGGGAAATGAAAGTCCTTCATGTGGCGCATAGTTAAATTGTGGAACTCAAACCCACAGGAGACAGTGGGGGCCTTTAAACAGAGGCGGAGCAAGCCAATCGGGCGCCTGGGGCAGCGTGTGTGCCCTGAGCCTGGAGGCGGGGCCAGCCACCCATGGGACGGGGCCAGCTGGGGCAGGACGCTCCGTGGGGCCTCCAAGGAGTCTGCCGGCCTCCTCCCACTCAGCCGCCCTACAGCTGAGGGGGAGGCAGTAGGCAGACCGTTTGGGGCAGTGTAGAGCCTGCGGGCGCCCAAGCCCCAAGAGAGACGCGTGGCTCGGGCGCGCTGCAGGCCAGCATTTTGTCACGCCCCCCCTCAGTGGTGACACCCAGGGCGGCCCGTCTCCACCACACACCCCTTCCTCTGCCCCCACACTCTCCCCCCCAGGGATGAAACCCAGATGGGCCGCACCCACCGCACCCCCCTTCCTCCGCTAGTGGCTTTATTTTATTTTTAATGTTTTCATTAAGCAATTTCAACATAACAAATTATCAAACCGTATAATCACATACATTATTTCCTCCCTTTTTTCCCACCCCCCTTCCATTCCCCCCTCCCCTCAAGGACTTCTCTCAGCTCCTCTCTCTGATTTCTCTGCACATATTATTCCCTGCATGTTACAAAAATATACATATCTCCTTACCTTACCTTACCTTATCTATCTATCATGTTATCAACCAATAAATTTGTGTATGCCAAGGAGTCCAGTTCATAAATTTGTCTTTTTAGATAATTTGTAAAAAGCTCCCCTTCTTTCTTAAAGTCACAGCTGTCTTTGTCCCGCAGTTTGTATGTCAGTTTAGCCACCTCTGCATAGCTCATCAATTTTTCTTGCCACTGTTCTTTCGTTGGGATTTCCTCATTCTTCCATCCTTGCCGCTGTTGTAGCATACATAAATACCGTAAGTTCTTTGTTTTTCTTGGTAGGTCTTGTCCTACAATCCCTAACAAAAATGCTTCTGGTTTTGTTTTTTTTTACAAATGTCATTTTAAACATTTTTTTCCAATTCATTGTATATCATCCTCCGCCAGTGGCTTTAAATGAGGACTGGACCAATTCATGGAGAATAAGGCTATCAGTGACTATGAATGCTGTGCCTTTGCCGTTACAGGCAGCCATGCTTCTGAATACAAGTTGCTGGAAACCACAGGAGGCGAGAGGGCTCTTGTTCTCACGTGCTGCCTGCAGATTTCTCTTTGGAGCATCTTGTTGGCCTCTTTGAAACGAGGATGCTGGACTAGACGGGGTATTGGCCTCATCCAGCAAGGCTCTTCTGTGTTCATATGAACTTATGTCAGTTACATTTTAGGGCCGGCAGGTGATGTTTTTGCTTGATATTGTGAGTTTTGCTTGATATTGTGACTGGCTCCATGAGATAAACACAGGTCACCCAGCGTTTCGATTCAGAAGGATGTGATTGAGAATTGTTGACGGATGGTTTAAGCACAACTCGTACCGATACTCTGTGTAGATTTGGAGGCTGGCAGGATGCTATAAAAGCAAGAGGCTTGCCAATTGCTTTAGAAAGACTTTTTTCCCCCAAAATGAATTCGGAGGAGTTTGAAGGAGTTTGGATTTGATATCCCGCTTTATCACTACCCAAAGGAGTCTCAAAGCGGCTAACATTCTCCTTTCCCTTCCTCCCCCACAACAAACACTCTATGAGGTGAGTGGGGCTGAGAGACTTCAAAGAAGTGTGACTGGCCCAAGGTCACCCAGCAGCTGCATGTGGAGGAGCGGAGACGCGAACCCGGTTCCCCAGATTACGAGTCTACCGCTCTTAACCACTACACCACACTGGCTCTCTTCGGGTTTGGAAGAGCTCGGCAATGAGGAAAAATTACAAGGTTTGGGGCTTCTTAATTTAGAAAAAAAGGGCAAGGAAGCAGGGACATGATAAAGGTGCATAAGATGATAGATGGTGCAGAGAAAGTAGTTTTATAAATCATTTAATGTGTCAATACGATTGGAAGTTGTTAATATTGCAGTTGTTGTATGAGGATTGTTATTTTGACCAGAGTGTAATTGAAATTAATAAGATTTTGGAATGCAGAGAAAAAGTAAACCATCAAACCATCAATTCTAGCATGCGGGGCCCACCTAAATTATATAATTTGGTATCTGAATTATTGGTATTAGTAATTGTATTATAATTTGGCATTGTTATAATGAGACTATTATTGGATTGTAATTGAAAACTAATAAAAATTATTATCAGAGAGAGAGAGAGAGAGTAATTTGCATTTTTGCTCCCTCTCTGGTAATACTAGATCCCAACAGGGTCATCCAATGAAGCCAGCTGTTTAGAGATTAAAGGAAAGACTACTTCACACAGCACTTAGTCAAACTGGGAGATTTGCTCCCATAGGTTGCAGTGATGGACACCAATCTGGATGGCTTTAAAAGGAATATAGCCTCAGCATTTGCTAGGGCAGGGCCATAGCACAGTGGAATAGCAGTTGCCTTGCATGCAGTAGGTTCCTGGTTCAATCCCCAGGGGCAGCATCTTCAGCTTAAGCTGGGAATGTGCCCTGCTGGAAAGCAAGGATGCTCTCGGGCAACTGGATGGACCAAAGACCCGGCTCTGTATAAGGCAGCTTCCTCTGTTTGTAACACAGGGGCTGGTGGCCTTGGCGAGAACTTGGCCTCTGTCTGTCAGAGCTACCTTGCCCTGCAGGCGGCAGTGCCGGCTTCCTTCCGAAGGAGAGACCAACCAGCTGCCAGGGAGGGACGCGGTTCACTCTCAGGAGGACTCGTTGTCACCCAAGCAGGAGTGACCCAGATTCCTGTCTGTGGCAGGAGCCTGTAGCAGTGCTGTGCCTACATTTCCCCCGCCGCGGAAGTGCTGGGCTCAGCGGGGAGCGAGGCAGGCAAAGAAGCAAGATGGATGGATCCTGCTCTCCCAGCAGGGCAGCAAGAGGCTGCGGGCTCTCGTCTCTTACGGCTCGGCTCCCTTGATTAAACAGCATCTTGCTCTCCAAAGGCTGAGAAATCGCCAACCTTCCGACGCAACACCTGGCTCAGCGATGCACCAAGGATCCGCTCTGCTTCCAGCTACTTGGCCAAAAGGAAAGAGCGCTTTGCCCATGCTCAGGAACACCAACGGCTTTGGGTCTAGCCGGGTGCCAGACTGGGCTCAAGCATTCCAGACAGGCTCTGGGGCCAAATGCCAGGCGAGATCTTGGCAGGCGAGATCCAGAGAAACCTTGGAGTGGTGGATGGGGCCCAGCTCGTCGGTGAATGTGCTGGTCCTGGGGGCTAACCAAGAGGCGGGGTCCGAGTCCAGTCTGAGGTCGATGGTGCGGTATGGAGGCTGTCCGTCAAAGCTGTAGCTGGGTCCAAGGCAGGGAGACGGGTGGGGTCAGGAACTCTGGCAGAAAAGCAGGACAGGGTGCTGGCAGGAACAGGCTACCAACAACGTTGCTCCCGCAACCTGGGACTGGGGCTGACTGGCTTTTATCTGCCCAGAGGCATAGGGCGGCCCCGGTCCGCAGGTGACTCGCCTCTCCTGGCCTGGAGGCGAGCACTCCTCCTGCAGGAACTTAGTTCCCTCCGCCTCTCTGCCCTGAGCCTCTGTAGCTCAGGAGAGGCTGGAGGGTTACCGGACTCAAGAGGCAACCTCCACTTCCCCTAACTGGGCTGAGAGTGGAGCACCTGCAGGCAATGGGTCCTCCATCACCTCAGGGGCCAGAGCAGACTCAGCTGGTGCCTGCACCTGAGGATCCAGCACAGGTGAGGACCCTTCAGGCTCAGGCCCCAGCCCCGGCTCAGCTGGTTCTGGAGGCGGGGACTCCTGTGCAGGCTGGAATTCCTCAGGTTCAACCTCTGAGTCTGAATCCCAGGCCATCACAGTGAATCTGCAAAACCGCAGGGACTGGCCATGCTTATGGTACATGTTCCTCCAACCTGTGTATGGCAGTAAAAGTTTGTGTGGCATTAGTTTGCTTTAAGAACATCAGAAGAAAAAGAAGAACATCAGCTGGATCGGGTCAAAGGCCCACCTGGTCCAGCATCTTCTCCTCCCAGTGGCCAACCAGATGCCCCAGTGGGAAGTATGAAAGCAGGACCTGAGCACACCAGCAACTCTTCCTACCCACCACGACCTCCAGCAACTGGCAATCAGAAGTGCATGTCCTTTAACAGTGAAGGTAGAACATAACCATTGCTTTATTGGTGGCCGTCACTGTATCTTGTGGGAGTGAGTTCCATAGTTTAACACCTGCTGCGTGAAGAAGAGGATAGAGCCAGTGTGGTGAAGTGGTTAGGGCCTGGGAGACCAGGGTTCAAATCGCTGCTCAGCCACGAAGCTCACTGGGTGACTCTTGGGCCAGTCAGTCACTCTCAACCTATCCTACCTTGCCAGGTTGTTGTGGTGATTAAATGAGGAGAGGGAGAACTATGCACACTGTACAGTATTGAGCTGCTTGGAGGAAAAGGTGGGATATAAACGCAAATGACAATCAGCCCTACCTTTTTGTCTGTCCCAAATCTTCCAATATTCTTCTGTGCTTTATCGTTCTTGGGGTATTGACCCCTCCCCAGCCATCCCATTAGTGTGAGCTGCCTTGAGCTTCTGAAATTGAAAGGGGGGGGGACGACAGGTGGCACAAATCTCCCTAATAAATAAACTCAGCAAAACGGCTTTCTGGGTGGATGCAAGAGAACCTCTCACAGCCATGGATGGAACTGCTGGTACTCGGGAGAAAGACGGTCGCACCTGCCTCCCTGCAAGAGGTCTGAGAGAACGGCTCCACCTCTTGGCTGAAAGAGTTCTGCCTCCAAATCGAGCGCAAAAACCACAAGGGACAGATGTGAAACTGTATCAGCAAAGAGGCTGTGGTGGTGATGCTTGGCTGAAACACTCTGGGGGCTCTTCCAGCTCTCCCTGTTATTGAGCATGCAGACTGGTTTGCTTGCATGGAGATTAGACTGTCTAGCCTTTACTGAGCATTTATTGTGATTTGTTTATGGGACGGCTACAGAAAAACAAGCATACATCCTGCGTGGCAAACATAAGAGCCCTGCAGTACCGGATCAGGCCAGCGATCGGTCCATCTAGTCCAACATCCTGTTTTCACAGAGACTATGCAGATGCCCCAATGGGAAGCAAGCAGGCCCAGAGCACAACAGCAGCAAGCCCCCGCTCCCTTGCATTCTGCAGCAACTGGTGTTTAGAAGCATTCTGCCTCCCGCCATCGGCAATGGCAGACTCCCTCTGAACTGGAGGGACTAGCTCCACGCGAAACGGGTCTTTTCCGCTACGGCGAAGCGGGGACCCTTTCAAAAATCACAGGTGGATGAAGCCTGTGACCATGGGACTCGGCGGGCACCTTTAGCGCCCCCCCAACCCGCAAAGGAACCCACTAACGGGCTCTGGAGCGAAGAGGGGGAAGTGGCGCGGTGCTGAGAGTCAGCTGCTTCTTCCGTGGAGCGAAGCCACACAGCCGTTGCCGGAGAGCGCTGCCTTTTTCCTGGGACAATTTGGCTTCTAAAATAATCACCCGTGAGTACTTAAATTTCGGACAATTGGACTTTAAATAAGGACTTGCGAGCAGAAAGGAAAATTGGACTTAAAAGTTTACCTCAATTTGGCACTGAAACGGGAAGGTCTAAACAGGAAGTCAGCCTTCCGTTTCTTTGTAGATAGATTAAAGCAAAGACATGGCAAACTAGAGCTCAGAAAATCGCTTGTAAAAGATTAACTTTCATCATTTAAAATTGTTGAACCCCCCTTCGGAAGCAGGAGAAGAGGGGGGATTTTTTCGGACTGTTTAAACCTGCAGAAGTGAGTGTAAAGTAGGACTTCCGGGGTGGCGCCATTAGCAATGGCGGACTCCCTCTGAACTGGAGGGACTAGCTCCGCGGGAAACGGGTCTTCTCCGCTACGGCGAAGCGGGGACCCTTTCAAAAATCACAGGCGGATGAAGCCTGTGACCATGGGACTCGGCGGGCACCTTTAGCGCCCCCCCAACTCGCAAAGGAACCCACTAACGGGCTCCGAAGTGAAGAGGGGGGAGTGGCGCGGTGCTGAGAGTCAACTGCTATTTCCGTGGAGCGAAGCCGCATAGCCGTTGCCGTTGGACTCTAAAATAATCACCCATGAGTACTTAGACTTTGAACAACTGGACATTAGATGGGGACTTGCGAGCAGAAAGGAATTGGATCTTAAAAATCTATTTCAATTTGGTACGGAACGGGAAGGTCTAAACAGGAAGTCAGCCTTCCGTTCTTCTGTAGACAGAATAAAGCAAAGACAACATAAACTAGAGCTCAGAAAATCGCTTTTAAAGGGTTGGATTTCATCATTTAAAATTGTGGAACCCCCCTTTGACAGCAGGAGAAGAAGGGGGATCTTTTTTGGACTGTTTAAAGTAAAGCAACTTTCCTCCATCCTGATCCTGGAGCGGGGTGTCAGGACTGACGTTTGAAGTTCATTGACCAGAGACAAACGTTTTTGACAGATAGCTAAAAGAAGAGAAACATAGTGATTCCACTGTTTCCCTTCGCATTTCAAAGGAACAAATATTGACAAAGTATCTCAAAAGGGAAACTTTGTTGCAAGATCAAATAGAAGTTTTCCCCTAGAGGGAGACTGTGAAACTGTAACCAACTCCAGGGAGCCGGCAGCTGTTTACAGATTACAATCGTGGGAATAGGCATTTGACCTTGCAGGACAATGTATTCAGAAGCTTTGTTGTGTGCTTTCTACAAAACAAATGCCCTACTGGAACAGTTACATGAGAAGGTGAATTTGATGACGACTTCGACTAGAAATTTTGAACAGGCAGTGGGAAATTTTGAAGAGACAGTGGGAAAATATGTGGAGCCCACCCAGGAATTAAATCAGGAGTGTGTCCTGACAGAACAGGCCCAACAGGAATATGAGTTTTCGGATTTGACAAATGAACTTGGAAAAAGCCAGATTTGGAAAGGAAAAGTTTGGTTTGGCTTGGAAATGGGGGGCTGGATTGACCCCCCTATGCTGGGATGTTTGGACTTTTCAAATCTGGCAATGGGCCGTGAGATGTTTGGGATGGTGGGGGCTCTTAATTTTGGAGGGTCTTTGAAACATGCTTTTAAATACCATATGGAATTCAGTGCTGAATATGGAAAAGGGGCTGATCTGTCGAGAAGGGTTAAAAATATTGCCAAGCTGGAGTTACCACGAGCAGGAGACAAGAGAAAATACAGTTACAAATATGAAGAAGAGCTGCGAAAGGGACAGGGAAGAGACTTGAGGGCTTTGGATATAAGGTTGCCAGGTTAATGGGCCAGATCGATGGGATAATAAGGACTGACAAAACCCGGAACCAGGAGGAAGGGACGTTGGATGAAGATTGGATCTGTTTGTATTTCTTTTTTCTACCATTAGAACTGTTTTATAAAATTGATGAATGTCAGAAAAATGTTGGAATGAAATTACTCGGCTTTAGTAAAGATGTTTAAAGAATTATGAAAGAATATTATGGTTATGAGAAGTTGGTAAGGATAAGATTTAAGTTTTAAGCTTTAAGGTTTATTTTCTTATAGAAAGATAAGATTAAAACTGTTTAGGGTAATGTAATGACAGAATATTATGAAATATGGAAAGGATTTGCTGGGATAATTAATAACTAGGATACAAAGAAAGGGAGGAGGAGGAGGTCAAAGAAAGAAGGTAATGACAGTTGAGGATTCGAGAATAATGAATTTGTTTTTAAATGTTCTTAAATTGTATTTTTGTTTTTTTGTGTGTGTCTTTTTTTCTTATTTTTGAATTTGTATTCGTATGGTTGGAAGGGGCTTGTTTCTTTTTCTTTTTCTACTTTGTTAACTATTTTTATTTTGTATTTTCTTCTGCTTTTATTTTATGTTGTAACACTTTGAAAATTTCAATAAATATTTAATAAAAAAAAAAAGAAGAAGAAGAAGTGAGTGTAAAGTAAAGTAACTTTCCTCCGTCCTGATCCTGGAGCGGGGTGTCAGGACTGACGTTTTTTGAAGCTCATTGACCAGAGACAAATGTTTTTGACAGATAGCTATAAGAAGAGAAACATTGATTCCATTGTTCCCCTTCGCATTTTAAAGGAACAAATATTGACAAAATATCTGAAAAAGGAAACTTTGTTGTTAGACTTGTCTTTAAAAGAAAGAACAAATAGAAGTTTTTCCCCTAGAGGGAGACCGTGAAACTGTAACCAACTCCGGGAGCTTGCAGCTGTTACAGATTACAATCGTGGGAATAGACTTCTGACCTTGCAGGACAATGTATTCAGAAGCTCTGTTGCATGCTTTCTGTAAAACAAATGCCCTACTGGAACAGCTACATGAGAAGACGGACTTGATGACTGATGCGATCAGAAATTTTGAACAGGCAGTGGGAAATTATACGGAGCCCACCCAGGAATTAAATCAGGAGTGTGCCCTGACAGAACAGATGAGGGAAGAGGATGTTACTGAATCTTGGGCGCCAGAGATGAAGGGAGCTGTGGCCCAGCAGGAACATGAGCTTTTGGACTTGACAAATGAACTTGGAAAAAGCCAGATTTGGAAAGATAAAGTTTGGTTTGGTTTGGAAATGGGGGGTTGGATAGACCCCCCTATGCAGGGATGTTTGGACCTTTCAAGTCTGGCAATGGGCCGTGAGATGTTTGGGGTTGTGGGGGCTCTTAATTTTGGAGGGATTTTGAAACATGTTCTTAAATACCACATGGAGTTTAGTGTGGACTATGGAAAAGGGGCTGATTTGTCGAGAAGGGTCAAAAACATTGTTAAGCTGGAGTTCCCACGAGTGAAAGGAGCAGGAGACAAAGGAAAATACAGTTATAAATATGAAGAAGAGCTGCGGAAGAGACTTAAGGGCCTCGGATACAAGGTTACCAGGTTAATGCGCTAGATCGATGGGATAATAAGGACTGACAAACCCGGGACCAGGAGGAAGGGACGCTGGATGAAGATTGGATTGTTTTTATTTCTTTTTTACTACTAGGATTGTTTTATAAAATTGATGAATGTTAGAAAAATGTTGGAACGAAATTACTTGGCTTTAGCAAAAATGTTTAAAGACTTATGTAAGAATATTATGGTTATGAGAAGTTGGTAAAAATAAGATTTAAGTTTTAAGCTTTAAGGTTCTTTATAGTAAGATAAGATTAAAATAGATTAAGGTAATGTAATGACAGAATATTATGAAATATGGAAAGGATTTGCTGCGACAATTAACAACTAGGATACAAAAATGGGAGGAGGAGGAGGAGGTCAAAGAAAGAAGGTAATGACAGTTGAGGATTTGAGAATGATGGATTTGTTTTTGAGTGTTTGTGGTGTATTTTTGTTTTTTGAATTTTTTAGTTTGATGTGGTTTGTTTTTTCTTTCTTTTTTCTGCTTTGTTCTCTTTTGTAATTTTAAAAATTTTCAATAAATATCATTTAAAAAAAATAAATAGAAGCATTCTGCCTCCAACAGTGGTTGGAGAATGCGACCCAATTTGCTTGCAGGGTGTTTACCTATCTTCCCATTCCTCATTTGTTCATCCTGCACTTTGCAATGTGTTTCCCTAACACCTCCCAAACTGCAAAAAGTCTTTGTTTTTTCAGTGTGGATTTGTCAACCAGGCTGTCTAATTAACTTAAATAGCACAAACCTACATCTCTCCCCAGAATGTGCTTGAATCTCTCCTGAAAAATAGTGAGTCTGGAGACCATCTTTCTCTCTCATTTGCTGTTTCTTGTCCCAGAGTAAGAGCCCAAATGAATCCATAATGGGATATTGACTCTATTTTTATAACAGCATCTAGCTTGGGTGGCTACCAGTTTGGGAATAGAGCAAAATGGGGCAACCCCCCAAAAAACAGGGTTGCAGTTTTTGAATATTTGGGTGGGTGATCTCCACAAGTTATCTATCATTAGATTAGTTTGAAAACTAAAATAAAACGAAAAAGCCCAAACCAAAAGCAACATAGCTAGACAAGGACCTATCTCCTCAGTGACTTAAATATTCCATAGTGTAGCCATCAACAAGCTGATGCCCTCCAGAAGTTTTGGATCACAACTCCCATTAGCTCCAGCACCCAGACCACAGTGTGAAAATCTCTGAATTTTCATTCAGTTTGTTCCTTTAAGTTCATTTTCAAACAAAATGTTTTCTTTTTACCTCTCTCTATATGTACTGTATGTCACTAATTAGAAACGAAAAGATTAATAATAGCAAAAAAGATAGCTCATACTACTAATGGACTCATTAGACATTTAGACCAGTCGTATTTTTTGGACATGGTCATGTTTAAATAAATAGGTGAACAAACAAGATCCCCGCAAAAGCAGTATATAAATAATCTTATATAAAATAAAAACTTTTTCTTTAATGTCCTTTTTTCTAGCCAACATCAGAATACGAACCTTGAAAAGATATCCCAATATCGGCCCCCATGTCTATTTAGCACAAACACTGGCATACAGAGGACCACTTCTTTAAAAAAATACTTTATTATTACCATCGTCTTTGTCATCCACATTACAGAAGCAATCTGTTCTGTACAAAAAAAAACCAAAAACCCAAACAGCAATGCAACTTGGAGATCCCCAACCAAACCAGATCCACCAGTGACCGAGATCACGCCTTCTGGGAGGGGCAACAGCTGTCAGTCACCGGAGCAATACCAGAGCAGCAGAATCCACAGCAGGGGGAGAGAAATGGGGACCTTTTATCCAGAAGGCTGCCTGAATTTAGGAGAAATGAGTGAGGTGAGCAGCCCAAACAGGGTGAGTGATCAAGCAGGCATAGAGAGGCAGAAGAAGCACCAGGCAGAAAGCACAAAAGGAGAGGGGTTGATTTTCAGATATTGTAGGAACAAGGAAGTTTCACCAGCTGATTCTCTGCCTCTGAATGGAAGGAGGAAGGAGGAAGGGGGGGGGGGAATAGAACTTTTCAGAAATCTTCCAATCAAAACAAACTCAACCCCAGGGAGGCTCCAGAGCAGCAGCAGGGGGCGTTCAAGATACATCCATCCCAACTGGTCCAAGACGAGCAGGTGCCAAAGACCCACCAGCATTTCAGATTTAAAAAAAACAGGCAGCTTTTGGCTGTTTGTTCTACTGCGCTGAGAACCTGGAACCAGGCCAAGAGCCGGACATTTTTTAAAAGCCACATTCATATGAAACCCAAGCCAGCTTGCTTTGTTCCAAAGCGGCCTGTTCGGAAGCTCTGCTGCCTGGCCATGACTAGCAAAGGATGCAGGGATGCAATGGCATGGAGGCTCACTTTGGGGGCCCCAGAAGGAAAGGTTTCCTGCCTGCAACAGGTCAGCTGCTTTCACAGACCCACCAGAGAACCTCCAATGTTTCTTTTTGGCTGCGAAAGAAGGCAAGACTCCTCCCCACCCTACTAGCACATCCTCCTTCCAATCTGGGGAGCTCCAAATGTTTTGAACTACGAATCCCACCAGCCCCAGCCAGAGGGTTAGGGAGGTTGTGGTCCAACAACATCAGGTTGGGAGAGTCTGCCTTAGAGGTCGTGAAGGCGAGGGGATGAGTTTCTGCAGGGACTCTTTGCAAAAGGTTGGGCTGTGGCTTAGCCATACTTAGAGCTGGCCCACTGAAATCATTTAAGCTGGTGATAACTCAAATCCCATTGATCTCAACGGCTCTATTCTATATGGGGCTAAGGATCCAGCCCAATAACAGCTGTTGTGGTAAACAGAGGGATTTCCTCTCATGCAGAAAGAGAGAGATAAGGAGGAAGGAAGGAAGGAAGGAAGGAAGGAAGGAAGGAAGGGAGGGAGGGAGGGAGGGAGGGAGTTCACAGCTAATGATGATGTTCCTAACTTTTGCTGACTTGGGATTGTGCTTTTTAGGCTAGATGTTGGCAACTGACACCTCCAAGCCTAACCTGCCTACTCTCACTGCTGCACCATGCTACCAGTGTGAAGTCAACCAAGAGGCTGAAGGGGTCAATGGAGGAAGAAGCAGCCACATCAGCAGACTTGGAGGAGGGGGCATATGAAGGATGACTGATGCTTCGGCTCACCCCCCCCTTCAGGACTGCCTCTTCAAACAGGCATTTTGGTAAAGTTTGCCCCCCAATGTCACCCACTCCCCCAGGAGAAAAAACTCCACTATCCTGGTTGGAGCTGCTCCAAACACTTCCTTTTGATTCCACGTCCCCCCCAGGTGGAAATGGGAGATTTGCAAGGTGGATGAAGAATCCCTGATGCAAATATGGCAGCCAATACGGAAGCCTCAGGATGTCGTTAAAGACTCCAAATCCCTCCATCCTCAACTCCTGGGACTTATGGAGAGAGTCCAGCCACATCTGAAGGGCACCACTACGTTGGCTATCCCAGATCTGGTCATTTCCATGGGGCAGCATTGCAGGGGGTTAAGAGTCATTCCAGGAGGGAGGAGAGCTGAAGGTGGAGGGATGGCTAAGCAAGCATTTAAAAGGAAGGAAAAGAAAGTGAGGCAGGGGCTGTTGAGAAAGCGGCCACCAGCCTACTGCCAACCCCCAACACGTACCCCATGAGATTGAGATGTCATGCCATGGCATAGTGACATTCCCAGGGGAAGGGGGGCAATGTGGTATAAAACGGCAGCCACTGGGCCTCTGGCAGAACTTAAAGCAGCAGGAATTAAAAAGAAGAAGGAAAGTGTCATTTTGCAGAGGGAGGGGAGACCACATCACTGTCCACCACTTACAGCAGTGAAAAGTAAAAGGAAGAGGGGGGAAATGGGGAAGCCGCTGCTCCCACTGCTTTTCCCAGTGGGTGGGGGACTGGGGCGTTTTGGCTCAGCCCTAATTCCATCTTCCAAGGGGGTAGGAGAATGAAGCCTGGTCGAGACTGGCTGTAAAGAGCCTCCAAACTCTGCCCACTGAGCCTCTGCTTTGATGGCCGAAGGGCAAGGCACAAGACCCCTCTCCTCTGGCCTGCACACTCCTTCCAAGTTAAAAGACAACACAACAGTGGAGCAACTGAATCGGACACCCACTTCTGGGCTGGCGATGGGGTGGGGGCACCCCGCTACAGGGCCTTGGGCCGGGCGTTGAGGCGGATGACTTCCCTGAAGTCCCGGACAAACTCGCGCAACCGGTCCAGGTAGGGGTTGACGTTCTCCTCCATCCATTCCTCCACCGTGTCTGGGAAGTAGATGCTCTCCATGCGGGAGCGGAAGCTCTGGACAAAATTCTCCCAGTCCTCGTGGACTCTGGGGTGGGGGGAAAGAGCCCAAGAGAGTCAGGAAAGAAGGATGGTGGCGTGGAATGCCCCCCCCCCCGGGGAACGTGTGGCACAATGCTCAAAGGCTTGGCAAGGGAAGGGCACTGGGTTCAACTCCCAGCTGGCCTCTTCAGTTAAGGATTTCCAATACAGTGGTACCTCTGGTTAAGAACTTAATTTGTTCTGGAGATCCGTTCTTAACCTGAAACTGTTCTTAACCTGAAGCACCACTTTAGCTAATGGGGCCTCCTGCTGCTGCCGGAGCACGATTTCTGTTCTCATCCTGAAGCAAAGTTCTTAACCTGAGGTACTATTTCTGGGTTAGCGGAGTCTGTAACCTGAAGCGTCTGTAACCCGAGGTACCACTGTACCAGGAAGCACGTGGATGGGGAGGTACCCCCTCCCCAGATGCCATGGATAGATGCTGCTGCCCCCCAGACAAAGGAGAGGGCTGAGCTAGATGGGCAAATGGGTCATCTTCACATGTTCAGTCCACTCAGCGTCTAAATGGCAGGCAGAGTTTTTCTGTGTATGAGAGAGCTTCTTTGACTGATACGTTAACTCTCCATTCCTTGAGACTTTCTAGGCTATATCCCTGTATTAATACAGATCATCAAAAAGCAATTCAGAATTGATTGCTTTGGCTCTGGGTAGTATTGCTTTTACAGAGTTAAGGCTTAGTGCTCTTCCTTCTGCCTTTCTGGATAGCCACTAGGGCTGGGTGAGATATATATATATCCTGGCAATATATAGTGAATCATGATGTATGTGTGTGCTGTACAAAAATCACAATGTGGGAATGACAGTGAAGCCAGCCAATGCTTCTACATAGCTCCATCCTTATTTCAGACATCGTGATATATCAATATATTGTGATATTTAGCTGGTGATATATCACGAAGCTGAAAACCTATCGCCCAGCCCTAATGGCCACGGTAAGAAACTACCTTTGGAGCAGCATTTATGTAAAACGGCTACAGAAGACAATGCTCAGTGCATTACCTAGCATCCTCTATATAAAGATTATTGTGAAAAATGTCCAAGTTCAGCTGCAAAAAAACAACCTTTTGCCAAACATCTGCCCTCTCAAAGATTTGGACCAGCATCCAAACCATCTGCACCAGTTGGGGCTGATGGGAGTTGTAGTCAAAGACATTTGGAGGGCACCAGGCTGGCAAAGGCTGACCTAGAATGCAATGTCCCTTCCTGTCTGTTTGCAATGGCAAATGACCATGTACTCATAAAACACACGCAACTTCCCCAGCTGGTACTCAATAGTTAGGAATGGCGAAGGAATGTGACTCAGTTCACATAGAAAGGTGACTCTACCTAATTCTCACTTCCTGTAACTATATGCGGACAGAAGCATGACCATCCTTTGCAATGTTTGCTTCTCTGAATTTAGCAATGTCAAGTAACATGTACAAAAGTCAAGTAACATGTACAAAAATGTGCATGTACTAACTAGGGTAAAGTGTGCATAAAAAGGCATATAATTACTGAAAATAACATACAGAAATGTATTAAGTATATTTTAGATGAAGTTTGCACTGAAACACTAGTGGATTTTCATAGGGACATTAAAAGAAAAAGAATTCGTGAACTGATGTGGAAACTGAACACAGATAAATGAGAAACTGAGAGAAACTGTGATTGACAGATTTGCCTGTTCCTAGTCAAGAGAGGTCTCGGTTTATATAGTGTCGTGGCTAGTGTTGGACTAGGACCTGGAAGAGACCAGGGTTCAAATCTACACTCAGCCATGAGGCTTACTAAGTGACCTTGGGACTGTCACTCACTCTCAGCCTAACCTACCTCACAGTAAGTAAATAAATAAATAAATAAATAAAGGACTGAGCCCCCACCCCCTTGCCTTCCCACCCCACCCCTCAATCACTTGCAGGGTGGGTGTGCTCACTCACTTGAGAACTTTGCTACCAAAGCTCTCCAGGTTACGAGGGTTTCCAAACTGGTGCTTCCGATGGTAAGGACTGAACCATCCCTTGACAGAGCTGTCGTGCACAGGGAGAGAAGAAAGAAAGAGAAACCCCATTAAGCAGCCAAACAAAGACCGACCTGGCAATTGCATCAAAACACTCAATGCTATGATAGCTCAGTTGGCTAGAGAGTGGTGCCAATAATGCCAAGGTTGTAGTTTCAATCCCCATAAGGAACAGCTGCATATTCCAACGATGCAGGGGGTTGGACTAGATTATCCTCAAGGTCCCTTCTAACTGTATGATTCTATGACTCAGGCAATGAAACTTCCATGACTCCTAACTCAGCAGCATCAGGGACACTAAAAATGCATCCTTTAAACAGCAGCCAAAATCCCCTTTATTACTGGTCTAATTTAGTTTCTCCCCCTACGAGGAGGGGAGTGTTTTCAAGATGGCGGATGTCTTTACCTAACACTATTTCTTCTGGGGGTGAGAAATGTGGGTTGCTGATACATTAAGGCTAAAAGCAAAACAGGGAAAGTGCCACAGCTTAGCGGCAGAGCAACTGCCAACAGTACTGTGCTAGACTGACCAATTGGTCAGACTAAGGCAGTTTCCTTGTCTAATTTTCTGCAGTCCCTGGAAGCAGAAGTAAAACAGTGGGTCCACATGGCTGTTGAGGTGCTTCCAGACAAAGGGCTCAGCAAAGGGGGGGGGGAGACCAAGGCCAAAATTTGACACACACACACACACACACACACACAGTCTTTGTACTGCCTTCCCAAAGGTATGCAAGATGCTGGGCTTTGGGAAGGAGGCACGAAGCTCTGGCAACATCCTAAAGTTCTCCCCACCTCCTTCCCAAATCTGGGAAAGCACTAACTAGGCTTTGGGAATGTGCCTCACCTACCAGCTTTGGGAAGGCACCGTGAGGGCTGGGGTGGTGGTCAAATGTTGCTGAGGGCCACCAAAAAGGCTTCAAGGGCCACATGTTGGACCACCCTGGTCTGCACTTAAGGGTATACACCACTTTTTTGGGGGGGGTGTACATCTCTATGTTCTGCTCACAGGGTGAGACAGTGTTGCAACCCCGCCCTTTTGACACACACACCCCTGTCTTGACAGGTGCTTACCACCACCATTTTAGCACCCTCCTTGTGTGTGTGTGGCTACTGACTTGGAGTCTGCACACATGCGTTAGTTGCGCTATTCCACCAAAGCGCAATTGTACAGCTCCCAAAACAATGTCTTTCCATTTATCTTAGCCAGTTGCATTATCTGGTTTGTTTTGCTGACCTATATTCTAAAGGAGGTTGAGTTTGAAGCTTTGCATCTTTGAACCTGAATGCTGCACTGCTACCCTCTTCTCACCTTTGGGGATGCTTGATTTACAACTCTTCCCTGAACTTCTATCCTGATCTTTGTTGCCCAGCTTTTCCTGCAGTTTAGTGGCTCCACTTAAAATTTCCTGTTGTTCTCTGGCTGGAAGGCTAGCAAAACAGTTCCAGATCATCTTCTGTTGACTCTGGCCAATGTCTAAAGAAGGCCTGCAATCCAGGGCAAGAAGGGTCTCAGCCTGCCTTCCATATAAACATTCCCGGGGATCGGACCGCCAGTATGGACTTTTAATTGTCAGTTTCAGAACTAGAATGTTATTACATTGTAATTGTGCTATCAATATGTATAAATAGGTACGACTTAAGAAGCAAAGCAAACAGCAGTGTGTGAAGGCTGAGACAGCTTGTTCCAGGAAAGGAAGCTAACTGATTGTTTTAAAGGTTTGTTTGCTTCCTTTTATATTTAGAACAGGAACTCTGGGTAACACAGGCTCTGCTTCCTCTCTTCCCTCAACCCAGCAGGATATTCCACAGTTCCTGCTGTGTCCTACACACCCTAAAATCGCATCCAGAGGATTAAGAAGAACTGCATAGTTGGAAGGGACCTCAAGGGGCATCTAGTCCAACTCCTTGCAATGCAGGACTCCTAGCTCCAGAATCCCTGACAGATGAACATCCAACCACTGTCAAAACAGCTCTTACAGTCAAAAAGCTCTTCCTATTGTTTAGTCGGCATCTTCTTTCTTGCCATTTAAATCCACTGGTTCAGGTCCTACCCTCCAGAGCAGCAGAAAGCAAGCTTATAATAATAATAATTTATTATTTATACCCCGCCCATCTGGCTGGGTTTCCCCAGCCACTCTGGGAGGCTTCCAACAAAGTATTAAAATACAGTAATGTGTTAAACATTAAAATCTTCCCTAAAGAGGGCTGCCTTCAGATGTCTTCTAAAAGTCCGGTAGTTGTTCTTCTCTTTGACATCTGGTGGGAGGACGTTCCACAGGGCGGGTGCCACTACTGAGAAGGCCCTCTGCCTGGTTCCCTGTAACTTGGCTTCTTGCAGTGAGGGAACCGCCAGAAGGCCCTCAGCACTGGACCTCCATGTCCGGGCAGAACGACGGGGGTGGAGACACTCCTTCAGGTATACTGGACTGAGGCCGTTTAGGGCTTTAAAGGTCAGCACCAACACTTTGAATTGTGCTCGGAAACGTACTGGAAGCCAATGCTCCATCTTCCATGGGACCACCCATTAGATATCTGAAGATGGCTGTGATATTACCTCTCAGTCTTCTCTCCTCCAGGCAAAACATCCCCAATTCCCTCAACTGTTCCACATAAACAAGGCTTGGCTTCCAGACCCTTGAGCATCTCGGTCACCCTCCTCTGCAGACGGTTCCTGCTTGTCAATATTCTTCTTAAACTGTGGTGCCCAGAACTGGACACAGCGTTCCAGGTGGGGTCTCACCAAGGCAGAATAGAGTAGGACTATTACTTTCCTTATCTGCAGCTCTTTTTATTTAAGGGGCCGTGCAGGTATGCAGCAGCCGTAAGGGAAAGTAATTAATTAGGGCGAACCTTAAAATTAAGGCTAAAAACAGTTAAGAATGTAAGACGCCTGTTCAATGTTCCCATATTTCTTCTAATACATCACAGAACTGTTGGAGAGGTTGTGGGGACAAAGGGACTCCCCCCACCAATCTATGATGTGAATACCCTTGCTTCATTCCACAATGAAACTTATCAGGAGATATCAAAGGTTATTTAAACACACTTTCAAAATTCCCTCCATTTATCCCTAACGAAATATGTGAACTACAAAGACATTTTGCCAAAAGGATCTTTTGACAGGAACTCTACAGCACAACAGTGGAAATCATTTTTAAAACCTATCTCATTAAGAGTACAAAAATATATTGAATTTAGTTATTGCAGAAGAAATGCCACATAAGTTCTGGGTCTCTAAGGGACAGGAAGATCCTGATCACTTCTATTCCATACGGTGGAATTTTATTTCATATAGTTAAGTTTCAGGGTTACAGGTTTCTCTCCCCACGCTGTCTAAAGAAATATGACTGCCGTTATTTTAGACTGGGTGTTATTATTTAACATGTTTAGGTTTCGAATGCCCTGCCGTTAGCTGGAGTTACTATGGATTTTTTTGTTCTTGTTTACTTGTCTCTGTGTTTCCATAGTAATTTGAAAACTAATAAAAATTACTTAAAAAAAAAAATGTTAAGAATAGTCCTGCTGGATGAAGTGCCGGCTCATTTAGCCCCAGAGGCCAGTGAGATGCCTCTTTGGGGAAACCCACAAGCAAGTCCTGAGCGCAGCAGCCCTCTGCCCTCTTGCAATTCCTGGTACCTGGTATTGTGAAGCATCCTGTCTCCACTAGTGGAGGTAGAGCACAGCCGTCGTGGCTAGTAGCCACGGATAGCTGCTTTATCCCCCATGAGCACACACTGTTGTGATTTTGAGCAAATGTTGTGTTCTTCCGTTCTCCCCATTTTCCAACCGCCTTCTCCTGCTGTCAGCTCCCTCTGCATCCTGCTTCAGTAAACAAGAATCCTGGACAGCAGACAGATTTCCTAGTTTTTGTTGTCAACTTGGGAGCGCCAATGAACATCCACCTCATTTGTAAGGCGGGATAGAACACAGGTTGGCTATGGGACAATTCTGAAAAGGTCGTTTGTGAAGGTAAGGAATACTATATCGTGCCATCCCAAAAGGTTTTCTGTCCCCAAACTACTTGCAACACAGGCGCTGCTACCCCCCCACCCACACTTTCCATTTAGACCAGCACCGTGGGGGGGGGGGCAAATTTAAGGGAAAAGCTGCCTTGCATCACAGCCTCCCTGTACATTTTAAGTGCATGGTTTCTTCCAAGGAATCTTGGGAACTGTAGTTTGATAAGGGTGCTGTGAGGGGTAAAGTACAGTTCCCAGGATTCTTTGGGGGAAAGTCCTATGCTTTACATGTGCTTTCCACTACCTACTTAAACATTATTTTCTTTGTTTAAGCAAAGCGATCCTGGCAAAAGTCACATGTGTCTTAATCCATTTTTAGATTATTGTTGCTTGTTGTTGGTTTCAATGCTTTTTAAATACCTGCTTTTTAGACTGTCATTCATTGATTATTTTTCTTTTACGTAAGCTATTTTGAAGCTTTATTATAATCAAGGGACATGTAGATTTTGTTAAATAGATGCATTTAGATTTATTTATTATTTTATGGCGGTGGAAGGAACTTTGGTTTCATCCTGACATGCACACACACATGTCTGCAGAGCCTCCCTGCCACCATTCCAGATCTCCTTACCTCTCTTCTTCCAGGACTTTGATAACGGAGTCTCTTAGCTGCCCCGTGACCTGTTCCACCATACGGTAGATATCAGAACCTGGAAATGCCCCATTGCCATCACTAATGAAAAACACAGGAAGGGCGGGGGGGGGGGGGGAAGAAATGTTGAAGCACCACAGATGCTGAGTTAGATGTGTACAAATGGCTGCCAGCTCGCCCCCAGCTAAATCTCTACGCACTTGCTCACATAAGAACATTAGAAGAGCCTGCTGGAGCAAACCAGTGGCCCATCCAGTCCAACATCCTGTTCTCATCGTGGCCAACCAGATGCTTCAGTGGGAAACCAGCAAGCAGGATTCAAGTACAGGAGTATTCTCCCCTCTGGTTTCCAGCAAATGGTACTCATAAGCATTGCTGTCTTCAAATGTGGAGGCAGAGTATAGCAATCTTGGCTGCTAGCCGTTAATAGTCTCTGCCTGCATGAATTTGTCCAATCCTCTTTTAAAGCTGTGCCAGATTTAGGAAATAATGCTGCTGCTGATGAATAGTAAGACCTATATTTACTGTAAATGGGTACCTCCCAAAAACATCCATTTTAAAAGCAACTGTACCAAAATAAATTATTGTGAAAATAAGAAATATGGGGGGGGGGATTTGGTCCCTGCTCAAAGCGCCATATTACCAAAGTCCACCCCGTTTAAAGCCATCTAGGTCAGGGGTCTGCAACCTTCAAGACAAAAAGAGCCACTTGGACCCGTTTCCGAAGAAAAAAAAACTGGGAGCCGCAAAACTCGTCATTATAAAATAACTTTTTTGTCACTTTTTTTTTATTATTTCTTTGTTTGACCCCTCAGAATTACTCCTCCTCATAGAAATAAACATTAAATTAACAAGTTACCTTTTTGTGTGTGTGTGTTCTTCACTCCCCTTCAAAACAGTGACCAGCGTACATGCCCCCTTTCAATGCAGTAACCAGCGTGCATGCCCCTTACAATGTAGCGGGCTGGCGGGCGGGAAGGTGACGTAGGGACGGTGCATGACTAACGCACGCACCGCCCCCATGCGACGTCACAGCCAGTACAGCGCCAGCCACAGTGGGGAGTGTCGGGGCGCACAATGCGCCTCCTCCCCTCGCTAGTATCCGCCCCGGAGCCACGGCAAAGGTGTAAAAGAGCCACATGCGGCTCCGGAGGGTTGCCGACCCCAGATCTAGGTTAACAGCTATCACTGCCTCCTGTGGGAGTGAGTTCCACAGTTTAACTACATGCTGTGTGGAGAAGTCCTTCCTTTTACCTGGCCTGAATCGTCCAACGTTCAGCTTCACTGGCTATCCACAAGTAGCCCAGCAACTGCTTGGTACAAGAAACTCAACCACTCGAAAACTGCCTCCACCCTATCACCAGGTGACATCCCTGCCCCATTCAACCCCCTACACACCATATGCTCTTCTCCAACTGCATGTTCTCGAAGCCAAGCATGGACAGAACCTTCTTCTTGGTAGCTTCTGTAAATCCCCCTGTGGCAAGAGAATTTGGGGTGCGGGAGAGGGGATGTGTTAGTGGATATTTTGCCCAGCTGAGTTTCCATTGAAGCAAGTGCTTCCATGCAGAGCAACTTGGGGTTCTAAACTGGGTGATGTAAATGGGAACTTTAAGCTGCTAGTCCTCTGTGACTTATGGGCAAGAAAGAAGACTACGCTGCTCCGCTGCTGGTTCAACACTAGCTGATTGGCACTGAGATTAAAGGTAAAGGAAGGAGTGAGAGACACTTAATACACTGCAATCAAATCTTACACAGGGGTTTGGTGCCAAGGGTTCTGCATATACACAAAAATAGCAAATACCCCAAATGTTGGAGGTGCCCACACAGCTAATAAGTGAGGGGAAAGAGAGGGAATCCCCCATACTTCCAGAGCCTTGCCTAGCAGCTCTTTTGTGCCAGGTACGTGGGTGGCGATGTGGGTTAAACCACAGAGCCTAGGACTTGCCGATCAGAAGGTCAGCAGTTTGAATCCCCGCGACGGGCAGAGCTCCCGTTGCTCAGTCCCTGCTCCTGCCAACCTAGCAGTTCGAAAGCACCTCAAAGTTCAAGTAGATAAATAGGTACCGCTCCGGCGGGAAGGTAAACAGCGTTTCTGTGCTCTGCTCTGGTTCGCCAGAAGCGGCTTAGTCATGCTGGCCACATGACCCGGAAGCTGTACGCTGGCTCCCTCGGCCAATAAAGCAAGATGAGCGCCGCAACCCCAGAGTCGGCCACGACTGGACCTAATGGTCAGGGGTCCCTTTACCTTTACCTTTAACCCCAAGCAGACCTCATGCAAATAGAGCTGTTAAGTTCTCTGCCTTGCTTGGGAGGAAAGGCCCGCTCAGTGCATTGGCTCTGGAACGCTAGAGATGCTTGTGCAAGATCTCGCAGGAACTCAGATGACCCTGTGAGATCTCGCAAGAGCTGGCATGCTGACTGGGACTTAACCCCGCCCCCCGTTCCAAGCAAAGGAGAGAGCTGAAAAGCTCTTTCTGAGCCAAATAAACCCAACCCGTTGCTTATATTTAATCTGCGCAGTTTCGGCCAGTCTGCCTTCAACCACACACGCGCGGTTGAAATCACACAAGTTAAATGCGCATGAGATGCGACTGCAACACTTATACTCCACCCATCGTCCTGCCTTTCCTACAGACACCCCCTCCCGCTGCACAGCTCCCCAGCCAGGTCCCCTCACCATTCACCAAAGTCTGCAGACACACAGCCAGCGATGGGATCCCCACAGGCAGGAGCTCACACAGAGCTGAATAGTGATCATACCTGCAAAGGGAGAGGAGAGAGGCCAGTCGATACCTTTTGGGTGGGAGCCCCCCATTATTTATCACCACGACCCTCCTGGTGCCACATTTCATTGGGAATCCACAGAAAGCTCACAGAAACAACAGCCTCTATTTCCTTTGGTAGCTCAGGATTCTCTGAGATGGGTTGTAGTTCAGTGGTAGAGTACCTGCCTTGCATGCGGAAGGCCCCAGATGGAGTCCCTGACATCTCCAGGTAGGGCTGGGAAAGACCCCCACCTGGAAACCTGTTGCCAGTCAGTGTAGGCAATACCAAGCTAGAGGGACCAAGGGTCTGACTTGGTATAAGGCAACTTCCTGTGTTATTATTTAAGCCAGTCCTATATTCAGAACAATGTAGACTGGAATCCTACTGTATTTTAAAGGGAAGGACTATAGGGAAGTGGTAGAGCAACTGCTTTGAAAGCAGAAGTGGTGCTGACAATGGCGAAGTTGCAAGTTTGATCCCCTAAGGGCCCCTAAGGACTAGATTTGCAGGGGGTTGGACTAGATTATAATCATAGAGTCCCTTCCAGCTCTATGATTCTCTGAGAAAGCCATTCTATAAGAAGGTGCCAGATTCAATACCTGGAAACTCCCAGTAGGGCTGGAAGAGAAACCCTGAAGGTCTGGCTCAGTAGGAAGCAGCTCCCTGTTGGAATAAACAACTTGCCTCTGAACATGAACAGAGTGCTTTCCCTTCCCCACTAAATAGTAATACACAGGCCCTGGATGTGGGGAATTAGAGTTATTAGTGAGGGGGGGGTTGATTGTTAAATCACCTGGAATTGTAGTTCTGCGAGGGGAATTAGAGGGGTCTCCCATCAACTTTCAGCACCCTTAACAAACTACAGCTCCCAGAATCCTTTGGGGGGGAAGCCATGACTGTTTGAAGTTACAGTCACACCTTGGGTTGAAGTAGCTTCGGGTTGCGCTCCGCGGCGACCCAGAAATAATGGAGTGTGTCATTTTGAGTGTCTGCACCACTCGTGCATGCGCAGAAACTCAAAATGACGTCACGCGCATGCACGGAAGTGGCGAATTGCGACCTGCGCAGACACGCGGACGCCAGTTGCGTTCGCTTCAGGATGCGAACGGGGCTCAGGAACGGATCCCGTTCGCATCCAGAGGTACCACTGTAGATCATAAAATCATAGAATCGCAGAACTGAAGAACTGGAAGGGACCACGAGGGTCATCTAGTCCAACCCCCTGCAATGCAGGAATATTTTGCCCAACATGGGGCTCGAACCCACAACCCTGAGATTAAGAGTCTCATACTCTACCAACAGAGCTTTACATGTGTGCTGTGAATGTTGACCTATCAGGGTTCGAGGATGTATTCCAGCAAAGTAAAAGCACTCAAGGAGGTCCAGTGGAGGAAGACAGGTGAGAGAAAGGCTGTGTCCTACAGACAGGGTGTGGCCCAGGGAGAGTCAACAGGGCCAGACACAGATGCCTGGAGGGCCTGAGGTCCCTCCCACCCCATGGCGGAGCTCCCTCCCTGGACTTGCCTTTGCCACCCGGTGAGGACGATGCCCTGGAACCGGATGGAGGGCGTCTTCGACATGGACTGGATGACCTTCAGCCACCTCAGGTGATTCTGCAGGTGGTTGTTTAAGGGTGTCCAAGCCTGAGCGGGGCCCGTCGTGCCCTTGAAGGCGCTGGCGAACCAGATGGTCTTGAAGCCACACTCTGCATACTTGGCAATGTATTTTCCTAGGAGGCAGGGGAGAAGACAGATGAGGAAGGATCGCCCTGGATGCACAGAAGACATTGACGGGTTAGGTCTGCTGTGCCATCTTTCAGTGCCAGGGATAGACTTACCTCCCTCCACCCCAGCCTTGATCACAAAATCATAGAATTGTAGGGTTAGAAGCGATCATGTGGGTCATCTATTCCAAACGCTTGCAATGCAGGAATTATTTGCCCAATGTAGGGCTTGAATAAGAGCCTGAGAATAAGAGTCTCATGCTCTACCAGCTGGGCTATTGATTGAGGGAGCTGATTTTGTTCTATTGCTAGCATGCTACCATGGCTTTTATTTTTTGGGGGGGGAGGGTGTTTGCATGTTTATTCATTACATTTATTTTCCTCCTGGAAGCTCATGGTGGCATACAGACTTCCCCATTTTACAATCGTGTGAGGCAAGTTAGTGACTGGTCCAAGGTCACCCAGGGAGCCTCATTCATGGCAATGTGGGGATTTGAACCCTGGTCTCCCAGGTCCTTCTCCAACACTTCAACCACTACACCACGCTGACTCTCACATGTGATATATATGTATAAGAATTGTACATGTTCTACAAAAACATCCTGGTGTCCCCACTCCTTTATTCCCTGCCAGTCTTTCCATACCTGAAGGGATCGCCTCCTCCAAGACCAGCCCCCAAACTATCTGAAGTGAGATAGGTTATAGCAGGGAGAGGGCCTTTTTGATGGTGGCTCCTGGGAAGGTTCATCTAACACCTGGTTTCTTTACCCCGCCTTTTAATTCTAAATTTATCTGCCAATTTCGCCAGTTGCTTTCCCTCTTGTATTTTAATGTTCCATTTGTAAGCTGCCATGAAAACGGTTTTTTTTAATAGAAAGGCAAGATATACATTATTTAATAAAAATGAACAAATAACCCCCACAAACCTATTTGCTGCGTATCAAAGTCCGGGGCGTAAAACCACAATACAGGAGAAGCGTGTTTGGCAATGCCAGAGTCTGAAAAGATTTAAATCGACAAACAAAATGAGAAGGTGGAGAGGAGGTGCTGCTGCTCCCACCCTAGATTCAACAACCTCAGCAACAAGACATTAAGGACTAGAGCCTTGCAGCCAAAGATTTGGCTGGCTCTTTCACACCAGCTTATGAACTTCCTTCTTCCACGGCTTTGTGGCCCCAGGACACATGTACATCTCCTCTCTGCCCAATCTCTCTTCCCGAATCCCTTCTCTCCCCTCTATCCTGCTGCTCTTCACTGCTGTCCTCAGACCCATAGCCCTAATTTCCTAAGCCTAGTCCCTTGTGCCCAGACATCTACTGCAGGAATGTTGAAGGACTCAAAACTCCCATAATCCTTGACCAGCAGTCATGCTGGCTGGGGCTGATGGGAGCTGTAGTCCAGAAAGGCCTAGATGGTTCACACATAATGCCAAACCACAGTTCAAACAAACCAAGGTTTGTGTCCATCAAGAAACTAAGGTTTATTGGCAGTAAACAAACCATAGTTATGCTGCTGGGTAGGATTCATATGTGGTGTTAAGCCACGGTTTAATAAGCCAAGTTTTATTAACAACTTAGAACTGGGATAATAAACAAATGAAATAAAGGCAACTCAGCTGATCGCTGCTAGAGACACAACCACCATCACAAAAAAAACAATTTTGTGTATCCAGTTGTAGGTTTTAAATAGAAGATTTTTCTGTTCCAAGGTAATATCTAAGCATCCATTATGGGTCTATAATAGCAAGTCACCACTTGGTTCTTTGCTGCGCTGTTACGCAATAAAGTCTTTAGAACTAAAATAAAATAAAATCCTGCTCCTGTTCCCAAAGAAACCCAGGGTGGCAAAGTCTGGAGTAACCAGACAAGACTCTGAAAGCATCATGGACCTTGAATGGCTGCCATGTCAACTTTCCGCAGCATATCATCCCAGAGGAGGGTATGCAGACCCCACTGGCCAGTGATGAAGCTGACCACCTCCCGGATATGGTTCAGGTACATCTTGCCCATGTTGCCGGCGTTGCGACTCATCCAGTTCTTAGAGTCCATCCCTTCCCCTAGATGGAAGACCTGGAGGGACAGAAGGAGAAAAGAGGGCAGGTGGTAACGGAAAGTGCAGGAGGAGCCAGGTACGAACGTCAGGGCCAAGGCTGGTACCAGGAGGAACCTGGCAGGCTCACAAGTCAAGAGCCTGCCTGGCATGCTGGCAAGGAAGGGGGGCATTTGCTGGGAACAATCCTAGAATCATAAGAGTCGGAAGGGATCCCAGGGGTCATCTAGTCCAACCCCCTGCTGTTCTGGAATTGCTGCTAAAGAATCCCTGACAGATGTCCATCTAAGCTCTGTTTAAAAACCTCCAATGAAGGAGAGACCTCCACCTGCCCAGGTAGTCTGTTCCAGCCTGGTGCCACCAGGAAGAACACCAACATTCTCTGCTCCTAAAGCAGTGGTCGGGGGGCCATATTTGAACCCACGTGGAGTCCTTTCTGGATAGCCATCTGAGGGCCACATGCCAGTGGAGGGCAGGGCCAGAGTCAAAACAGGCGAAGCAACAGATATGAATTCTACCTTTTGTTCAAAGGCAAGAGAGAGGCTTGAGCAGAGCTCAAGGACTCTGGTGCCAATGCCAGGATGACTGTGCTATCAACAACTGTTTTGTGAATGACTTCAGTTAGCTAAGTACTTATCATGCAGGATGGGGTTCTACCATTGAGGAACAGACCTTGTTCGCCTTATCTAACCTCCCCCCCCCCACTTCATCCAGCTCCTTTACCTCATCTGCCCCAATATGCACCCAGTTGGCCTGTGGGTGCTTGCTCAGGACTTGGGTCAGCACAGACTTCACGACGGTCATTGTTTCCTGGACGTGGGGGTTGAAGCTGTTGGGGAAGCGCTCCACCTCCCGGAGGTGCCGGTATTTGTCATGCTTCAGGATGAACTGCAGGAGAAAGGAGGAGAGGAAGCTGGGGCATGAATGGGGAAAGGGGAAGGCCTAGGGGGACAGCACAGATCGGGGTGCCCAAACTTTTTTGGGCCACAGCCCCCATGGTTCTGTAAACACATCCTCAGTGCCCCCTACCCTATAAAAAGCATTATTCTGACTAATGGATTGCATGACCCACTAAGGAAAATGGCACATTCATTCATTCATTCATTCATTCATACATTGTTGTTGTTAAATTACCGTAATTACGGTACCCACCCTTTACCCTAATGTCCCAGGGCAGGGTACAGCATCAAAAGCAATAATAAAATCAAATAAGATAAAATTCAAAACAGTAGCAATTAATTGCACATTGGTTCAAAATCCAATTAAAGCTACTTTGTTTAATTCAAAAAAACTGATCAGCTCGATCCAGTGATACCAGACATTGCACACAAAAAAATTTTATGTCTTCTTCCTAACGAAAACGTAAGGAAATACATAGCATAAAATGTTAATATATAACTACTTATTAAACACGCACAAACGTTCACCTACCATAGATATGTATGGTAACTAATTTATAAGAAAATCAATAGCTATTCCCAATACTTGGCTGTCCTGTGACTTGTGACAACTCAGAATAGTAAACACTTTGAAAGCGATAAGAGCAATAAAACTTTAAATACCAAGCAGGGAAGTTGTTTTGCTCTAGGTTCTAGCCTGGGCAATTGTAAATAAGAGATCAATGCACTTAGAGAGGCCTACAAACCCCCCCCCCCCGCTGCCCCATGCCTCTTAGTGCCCTCCCTAAGTAATCCAACCACCCCTTTTCAGAACCACTGGCATAGACCATCTATTGCATCTTCGCAAGTGACTAGTCCACACTGAACCATTTAACTCGCCTGCTCCCAAAAATATACTAACAGGAAGTCCTTCATGGCAGTCCAGCAAATACAGTGGTACCTCAGGTTAAGTACTTAATTCGTTCCGGAGGTCCGTTCTTAACCTGAAACTGTTCTTAACCTGAAGCACCACTTTAGCTAATGGGGCCTCCTGCTGCTGCCGCGCTGCCGGAGAATGATTTCTGTTCTCATCGTGAAGCAAAGTTCTTAACCTGAGGTAATATTTCTGGGTTAGCGGAGTCTGTAACCTGAAGCATATGTAACCTGAAGCATATGTAACCCAAGGTACCACTGTAGAAAATACTAACTGCAGTTTCTGTGTTAAGAAAACGTCTTGCAGCTCCTCTCCTGGGGGCAACTGTAACACAGATTGGCAAGCAGTACAAGTCTGATCTAGGTCCATCGGACTCAGAATTGCCTACACCATCTGGCAGTGACCCTCCAGAGTTTCAGGCAGAGGACATTCCCAGCCCCACACAGACTTGCTGGGGTTTGAACCTGGGACCTTCTGCATGCTGGGCAGCTGTTCTCCCACTTTCCTATGGCCTTTCCTGCAGCCAATTTAGCTGTGATTCTTCCATTGCAGAAGGTTGGACTAGATGACACTTGGGATCCCTTCCTTCTTTGCAATTCTGTGCATCCCTGCAAAAACAACCTGATACTCAGAGATTCAGCAGTCCTAGCTGCCTCCATAATTTTCTCTCCATGCAAAAAGAAAACGCTCCTTCACATCTTTAATTTGTCTATCCGACTGCTCTTAAAGATTCTGCTCCGTGCAGAATCCACCCCACCCTGCTGGCTCGCCCAGGTCAAGAGAACCAGTTTCTGCACCTTTAACAAATCAGAACAAATAGTCATTGTTTGCTGAGCTGCACAACTGGAGTCCAGCTCCCTGGACAAGAACTGGCCTAACCAGATATGAAGGCTGCATCACTCTGAACAGTTACACCCTTCTCCCTTGAAGGCAATCCAAGGAAAGACTAGCCCCCCCTGAGCAAGATTGGTCAAGATTCTATTGGAGGGGACGGGAGGCAGCAGCAGCAGCAGAAAATATGGGGTGGGGGGAGTACAATTTTAAAACAACACAGCCATTAAGGTTACAAAACACACAGGTGAAAGGCAGCTGTCAATAGTCTGCCTTCTCCTAGCTCAGGGTTTCCCAAACTGTTGTTGGACTACAACTCCCATCATCCCTAGTGGTCAGGGATGATGGGAATTGTAGTCCGAAAACTGCTAGAGACCCAAGTTTGGGAAACCCTGGACTACAGCTTCCATCAGCCCTAGCCAGGATAGGCATGCTTTCAACTACAACTCCCATGATTCCCAGCTAGTACAGCCCTGTTTTTGGACTACAGCTTCCATTAGCCTCGGCCAGCACGGTATGCATGGACACCAAAGGCAGGGTGGGGGAAGGGGAGAGACCAGGTCATAGATCTACCAGAAAGGCAACCAAAGACCAGCAATGCTGGAATGAAGAAGGGGGTTCTCCTACCTCTACGTGGCCAAAGGTCTGCACTAAAGGGATCAGCTCCAGTTTGTTGAGCGCTGCCAACTCCTGGATTTTCTCAATGTCTTCTTCGCTGTCAGGAGACAAGAGCACCAGTCAGCCACAAGCTGCCAGCATCCCAGAGACCTTGTTGAGCTGGCGGGTAGGAGCAGAAAGGGAGGCCGCTTCCAATAAGTCAAACCACACAGAGCCGGTCCTGCCATGAGGCAATGAAATGGGATAGAGACCCCAATCCAAGGAGCGCCACCTCTCTGGTGCACAGGGTCAGGTCTTGGCCTGGATGCCCTCAAAACTGTATGGCACCAATCAAACACACACAGCAGGCCAGTAGCGACTGAGGCAGACCTCTTACCTGTAAGCGTACGGAGACTTGAGGATCTCGAGGTCTCCCTTGAAAGGAAACATGTCTTCGTATTCGATCAGGATGCCGTTGGCACCCAGCTTGGAGAAAAGCGGGAAGATCTGAAGGGAAGAACATGTGAGATGTACCATCTAGCTGCCACACGGGTACAACTGCAATGTGGCAAAGCACACTCTTAACTGGCAGAATTGGCACTGAGGGCCACCACCTCAAATGGCATTAAAAGGAACCTGCACAAATTTGTGGAGAAGGCGATCATTGGCTACTAACCCTGATGAATATATTCTCTCCTCCACTGTTGGAGGAATTGTGCCTTGGAATGAGAGAGCTGTTTGACTCATCTGGGCTTCTTCCCTTTGGGGCATCTGGCCAGGCACTGCGAGAACAGGATTAGATGCCCCCCCCCTTTGGGACTGATGCAGACTCAGGGCTTTTCTTAGTTTCTTATGATTCCTAATGGAACCCTAAAGTGGTGAACATGAATGGGGGAACACTATTACTCTCAGATCCTGCTTTGTGGGCTTCCCTTGAGGGCATCTGGTTGACCCCTGTGAGAACAGGATGTGGGGTTAGATAGGTCCCCTTTGGCCTGATCCAGTTCCAAGGCTCTTCTTCTGTTCTTAGAATTGGCTCCAGAGAGGAGGCAGAAGGAGAGAAACAAAGGATGTCCCATCTGGGCTTCAATCCACTAATAGGTCTCTCTTAAATCAGAAGCAGGGAAACTGTGGACCTCCAGATCTTATTGGGCTGCCACTCCCATCAACCAGCAAGGCTAGTGCTCAGGGATTATGGGAGTTGTAGTCAAACTGCCCAATCCTGGTTCGTGGGAACCATTGCTAAGCTCAGTAGTGCAACCATCCAAGGCGGTTTTCCCCAACTTGGTGCCCTCCAAATGTTTTGAGCTAAAAGTTCCATCAGCCACAGCCAGCGTGACTTTCAGCAGCTCCAGCCAGCATGGCTGTCACTCACTGGTTTATTTGTTTGATTAGAAGATTTATAAATGCCTGGTTAAAAATCTTTCCATGTGAGATAACGCAGCTAAAGTGCACAGTTCTGTTAAGGACAATGTATACAAAATAAAATAATGGTGAAACACACACACACACCTCCAATGAGGTAGGTTAGGTTGAGAGGCAGTGACTGGCCCAAGGTCATCCAGTGAACTTCATGACTGAGTGGGGATTTGAACTCTGGTCTCCCAGGTTCTAGTTTTGACAGGTGCTAACTGGATCAGGCCATGGGCCAGTTCCTAATCTCCCTGCAGACCACATTTGACAGGTGGGAGGGACCACTCCCATGTCAATTGCCAGAGATGATAATGATGTCAGATGACTGACACCTGTCTAAGTTCAAACATAGTTGGTATAACTTCTGGCCAGTAAATTACAGCAACCTCCTGTGAAGACGTCTTTTCAGCACCAAACAGGTGGTTCATAGTGGGACCACACCTTCAGCACTCTCCCCTCTGCAGAGAAAGTGGTTTGTATTTAAATTGCTTTCTCTGGAAAGAAGGTAGGGGGGAGTTCACTTAAAAGCCTTCCAGAGGAAGCCGTTTATGTTCAAGCACTGGAGGAAACCTCATCACCCGTTAATGCCTGCTGCTCAAGCTGTGGCATCAAGCACAGTGACAGGGGTTAGTAAAATATTTGGCAACTTTATCCCCCTCTCTCCCTTCCCCTCCCCTCTTCCAGTGTTGGGGAAATATTGGAGTACAATACCCTCTGGGTTCCACCTGGATGGCCAGTCAAACCCAGACTCCAGATGTCAGCAAAACAGGACATTTATTTAGGTGTTGCAAAGCTGGTACAACACAAACAGCAAATAGTGCAGAGTGGCGAACTAGATATGAAAACAACACAAGCACTTAGAAGGAAAGGGAAACAAAAGGGCAATTGTGTCCCTATATCATAATACTTCCTTCTACTAGTTAGAGCAATACTTCCTGTACCTGTCAACCTGCCCTTCTCTCATGGTTCTCTTGCAAACACAACCTTCACATTCCAACCATCACTTGCTCAGACCTCTTTACACACATTTCAGTTTTCACTCTCTATAATAATTTCTCCAGCACCAGGATTCACCTGGTGTACAAGCTCTGCTCAAGGTGGGCCTCCTCACCTGCTCCAGGTAGGATACTTTTGGAGCTGCTCCCTTGAGGTCCAGATGGACCAGCCGCAACTGCATCAAGCTGAAATCCTGGAGGGCCTTTTTCTTGGCGTCCTGCCTGGCAGGGGCGGCGGCTGCCACAACCTTGACATCTGGGATACCTAAGGACTGACCCTGAGGCTCTGCAGAGTGTTTGAGGTCGCCGGCCTTGCCCCAAAAGCTGCTCTCCTGGCTGGATCCCTTGTATTGATTCAGGGAGAAGCTGTGTGTGTGGAAGAGAGTAGAAGACCGCCAACATGGTTAAGGTGCAGCTGCTGGCAAATGTGGAACTGAGTTTCCTCCTCCCCATAATGTCAAGAGCAGGCCCTTCCCCAACCTCGGGACCTCCACATGTTTTGGACTACAACTCCCATCAGCCCCAACCAGCATGGTGTCATGGACTGGCAAGGTGCAGAGAAGTGGTGGGAGGCACCATCTGGGGGAACCCCCAGGGGAAGAAGGTTCAGAGCTAGGGGATTGGTAGTGGGATGGCGATGATAAGTGGTTCGAGGGAGAAGAGGGGGCAGACTGGGAGGAGGAGGTGCCGGAAGCTGAAGAGGCAACAGGGTTTAGGGAGCAGGGAGAGGCTGGGGAAGAGGGTAGTCCAGACTCAGCGGCAGGAGAGGAAGCTGGAGCCAGAGATGAGATAGGCTGCTGAAGAAGCCATGGGGTCTCCCTCTCCTGCTGTGGCCAGGTCCCCTTCCACCAGGTTGCTTGGAAAGGACTCGGGGAAGGAGTCTTAGAGAGCAGTGGGAAAGCAGGGACCTTCAGTCCTTGCAACAGCCTCACTAGGGCAAGACCTACTGGGAAGAGTTGCTGGGATCACTAGGCCTGAGCTGTTTTGGTTTCTTCAAACAAAGAGTTAACTTTTCTGGCACTGGGTGTTTTATTGCTGACCTGCTCCTGACAAACAGCCATTTTGGACTACAACTCCCATGGGTCCCAGCCAGCACGGCCATTTTGAACTACATCTTTTATGGGAGTTTTTAATTATGCTCTCTCTGATGCTTTAATTCTTGTCTTAATCAAAGTTACTGTAATCTCATATGTTATATACCACCTCTCTGTATTCTTAGGAAAAGTGTAGCCTATAAATATTTTAAAATAAACAAAGCCCTGGCACCATATAAGTATTTAAACAAGTAAAGAAATCCTGCAACTGTGCTGGCCAATGGGAATTATAGTCCAGAGCATCCGGAGGGGACTGGGTTGGGGAAGGCAGCTGTACCCCACAATCTTGAAACAGCCCCAGAGCAATAGGCAAACATTGATTTCCACCCATGGCTGCAAAAGAGCTTTGAGCCAGCCCCATTTATGGGACCCTGGAAGACTAACAGGTATGGGGGACCCTTTGGCCATCCCTGGTATGTTGGCTGACTCCAGCTCCCAGTAGCCAGCAGGCCCAATGGTCAGAGATGATGGAAGTTTGGGGTCCGGCAACATCTAGGGAGGGCCGCAGGCTCACCACTCCCACCTTGCAAGACAGCAATGCCTGTCCGAAAGATACTCACCTGTCCCTGAAGAAATACTTGATGGCCGCCAGCACCACAGTGAGAAGCACCAACAGCCGCAAGAGGTTCAGCTTCTGGGTCCGGTGGAGCGCCATCCCTGCTAGGGAGGAACAGGAGCCACGAAGGGGCATGTCACAGCTCTGTTCAACACAACCCAGACGGGCCAGCAGCAATCTGGATTTTAAGGCTCCACTACACCCACCTTCATGAGATGCCACAGTGCGGGGAGATATGCCCACAGCCCCTCCGCACCCCCAAACCTGCCGTAATCCTAGGCCAAACTGAACTTCTAGAACGTTCTACACACTGAGCGTGCTCCTCGGGAATTATCTGCAAGGAGAAATTGCCACACCCTTTACCGACTAATTAATTGCAAGCGTATCGGTTATATCTTCCTGAGAGCCAACTCACTGTTTCTGTTTGGGTTTGGCACAGATAATTCACCACGGCAACAAATGATAGGGTGATTAATTAAGTTTGGGGAGGGGCGTTCCCTCAAATGGTTGCATGTGGCTGCCATGGTTAGTAGCATGGTTAGCCAGTGTGGTATAACAGTTACAGCGCCTGGACCTAGGAGACCTAGGCTTCGTAATCCTCACTCTCAGATGCATAACCTTGGGCCAGTCGCTGCCTCTGATTAGCCTACCTCACAAGGTTGTGGTGTAGATCAAATGGGGAGAGGGGGAGAACCATGTATATACTACCTTGAGTTCCTTCGGGGGAAAGATAGTGTATAAATGGAATAAATAAATAAAACATCTTTTACCTGATCTAACCAGAGAAGGAGAGATTGGGCTGGCATTAGTGCCCTGCCGGCCCAGGCTGTAAAGGAAACTTGCCCTCTCTGGGAGTGTGAGATTCCCTCTACTGCCCCTTGGGAAAATAATAAGAAACGTAGGTCACATCAAGACCATATATTTAAAGATCTTTGATACCGCTTCAAACAGTCATGGCTTCCCCCAAACAATTCTAGGAGCTATAGTTTGTCAAGGATGCTTAGAGGGGCGAAGAGACCCCGTTCCTCTTCCAGGGCTACAATTCCCAGTGTGGCTTCACAGTGGAATCCTCTTCACAGGAAACTCTGGGAACTGTAGTTCTGTGAGGGCCAAGGGGCCTCCTAACAACTCTTAGCACCCATAACAAGCTACAGCTCCCAGAATTATTTGGGGGAAGAAGCCATGACTGTTTAAAGTGGTATCATAGTGCTTTAAATGTATCATGTAAACATGGCCTTAGTTTGGCCTATATAGCAAGTCCTAGCTGCTATGAGTTTTTGTTTCTTCTGTTGTTCATAAATAAACACTACTACTATGCAAATTCTTCTGACTCCTGCTGCTTCCTAGGATTAGGGCAGGTCCGTTCTGAGCTTTCTTCATACAAGGATTGCCCTTTTTTGGGTCAGCAGAAACGGCCTGACAGATCTTGATTCAGAGCAGACTTTTGAAATGGCTCTCAGGTCAAAGGATATCACCCAGAGGTAGGCAGCATCTGCTTTACATGCAGAAGGTCATGGGTTCAATCCCCAGTGGCATCTCTGGGTGTCCCCTGCCTGAATCCCTGGACAGCCATTGCTGCCAGTCAGTGTAAACAATACTGACCTAGATAGACCAATGGTCGGACTCCGTAAAAGGTAGCTTTCTATTTTCCGACTAGTCATTTCCCTGAAATTTGGCTAGATTTATATCCCTCCCAATGTAGCTTCTTGGCCTTGAGTTACAATACTGATAGGACACGTTGCTTTTAATTTACAATTAATAGAAATTTCCAGACAAAATATTGGGGATGGCTCACACCTTCACTATATTACTTAACTATAGCTTTAAATTGCTTTTATGTGTTGTACTTTTATTTTGTTGAGCATCTTTGAGACTCTGTATTGTATAAAAGGAACCGCTAAATCAATCTTATAAACAAATAATAAAGTAACTATGAGGCCATCTAATGCAGTATAACCTAACTGGCAGCCACTCTCTGGGAACCTTAGTCAAAGAGAGCCTTGTTAATGGGAGATGCCCCTGGGGTGTTGAAATTGGGACTTCCTTTTTACAAATCACGCAGTCCTCAAGGGACTGTCTCACCTGAAGGCACCCCAGGCTTTGTGCGTGTCATAATACCTAAGCAAAACAGTACAACTGTTGCTTCAGTAGCTGGGCTTACCTGCTCAATCCCAGCTGGTCCAACGAGAAGAACTAGAGGGACAGCAGCGCTAGCCTAGGGACAGGCGTTCTCAACCGGCAGAGACAGTTGGGTCTCATTGAAGCAGCCCTGCCCTACCAGAGAGCCAAAGGGGGTCAGAAGCACCTAGGAATAGGCATGGAGATGGAAGATCTCAGGAGCATAATACATACCAAACTGTCTATCTACCTGGAGTCTCAAAACAAAGTATGTTGATTTAGCTGTGATTCCTGCATTGCAGGAGGTTGTACTAGGACGACTCTTTGGTTGCCTTCCAGAACTATGATTGCCAATTCTGAGAGTCAAGGGTGATTCTTCCAAGCCCCATTCCTGGCCAAATCGCCAAAGGATTTGTAGTTAAGTGCCCACTAGCGGACCTAGAAAAAGCCAGGCAACTCTCAGGTGCTGAAACTACCCAGCATGCAACAGGATATGCCATGGTGACTGTGGGCATGTGTCAAAGCTTACTAGGAGCTTAGTGAACTGGGCTCTGGGACCAAGACCACCTTGGCTGCCCTGGTTATATATTTATTTATACCCTTTCTACACTGTTTGGAATGCTCTCCCCAAAGAGGCTTGCCTGGCGCCATCATTGCATGTCTTTAGGTGCCAAGCAAACACATTCCTCTTTACCCAGGCCTTCAGCCAATACATAATCTATAGTCTGTTAAAGGTGTGGGGGAGGGGCTGTTATTGTGATTATTTTATTATTATGCTGCCTATTATTATGTTTTGTATTATGTTTTATTATTATGCTTCTTAAAATATTTTTAATGTACACTGCCTGGGATCTTTGATCAAGGGTGGTATATAAGTCAAATTATTATTATTATTAATAATAATAATAATAAAGCCTGGTTGATATCAGGCAGTGAGGGTTGTTGCCTATGCGAGTCCTACTCAGAGGAGACTCATTGAAAATAATGGGCATGACTGGGGTCTATTTATTTCAATGGGTCTACTCTTAGAGTATAACTTAATTAGATACAACCCAACTTCTGAGCAATAGAGAGAAGCCTTCCCCAACCTGCAGCCCTCCAGAGTTTAGCCATGGTAGAGAGACATTGCCTCCAATTCAGAGGTATAGTGGTCTGGGGACATGGGGTAGGTCAAAGATCTGCTACTATTTCTGCAGCAGCATCTGTCTCCAGCATCCTAAAGCTGCCCAATCACCACAAAAGGGGAGCTTCTTAGCCAATGAGAAGACGTCTTCTCACCCTTTCTGGCCATTGGAGCCAGTCAGAGTGAAGGTGGTGTGTCAGCCACTGAGGATAGGCTCCTAGGATCTCTCTGGAGAAGGCGCAGGAAGAAGTCCAAGGAGTTGTTCCATATGCTCCAAAGCTGAGTACAGTGGTACCTCGGGTTACATATGCTTCAGGTTACAGACTCCGCTAACCCAGAAATAGTACCTCGGGTTAAGAACTTTGCTTCAGGATGAGAACAGAAATCATGCTCCGGCAGCGCTGCAGCAGCAGGAGGCCCCATTAGCTAAAGTGGTGCTTCAGGTTAAGAACAGTTTCAGGTTAAGAACGGACCTCTGGAACGAATTAAGTACTTAACCCGAGGTACCACTGTACAGTATTTAGGAGCACTGACAACACAATGTGCTTCAGCTTCAAGAGAAAGGTGTGCCAGTTCTGTTACATAAAATCCAACGTCAAGGAAAACACAACTTCAGTCTCTCTGAAAGAAGATATTGGAACACTCCAAACCATTTGCCCACATATGTGCATGGAAAACAGTAGATCTAGCTGAAAGGCAACACCAAGAGACCTGTATTGATAGTTGCAATACATCCCTCTTTAAGTTTATTGTATAATCCTGGAAAGTAGTATAACCTAAGAAGGGACGTGGCTGTGACTATCGTAAAGGGATCCCACGCTCCTGAAGTTGCCACTACACTGCTGCTCCAATTCCCAGCTTCTCTGCTTGGCATCCTCATCTCTGAGCAAAATGCCCTTTGCTGCCATTCAGCTAGGGTGAACTGGGGACTGCTGTCTTGACAGATCACACTGGGAATCGCAGCCCCATGTAATATCGCTAATGGGCTCCTCTGCCTGCCCAGCTGCCATCTGACAAGGTCCTGCAGCTGCTCAGGAAGGTTCAATCATCAGAAAAGGGCTGCAGACAAAATGCCAAAGACAGCATTTTCTCCCGCAATGGATGGATTATAGGGCAAGCGGGATTATGGGTGGGGTGCTGCAGGGGATCTTTACTTCTAAGGCCAGATGACATTGGGACTCACATCAGATGACGTGGAGAGGGGTGTGTGGCGATGGTGGAATCAGCCCCAGGGACGCTGCAGAACATCTGAACATCTCAAAAGACATTTTTGGAAAAGAATCAACAAATGCTTTTTTATTGTTGTGTCTGCTGCCTTAAGCTCCTTCGGGAGGGAGGGCAGGATATAAATCCAAATCAATCAATATTTCAGTGCTGGTGATTAGTTACAGTGGTACCTTGGTACTCGAACGGCTTGGCTCCTGAACAAATCAGCTCCTGAACACCGCAAACCCAGAAGTGAGTGTTCCGGTTTGCAAACGTTTTTCAGAAGCCCAACGTCCGACACGGCTTCCGATTGAGTCCAGGAAGCTCCTGCAGCTAATCAGAAGCCGCGCCTTCGTTTTCGAACCGTTTTGGCCATCAAACAGACTCCCAAGATGGATTAAGTTCGAGAACCAAGGTACCACTGTAGTATCCTCTACTGCCCCTGAGCACAGCTGGCTGGTTTGGGGGGGCCTAGAGCAGGCTGTGTGACATAAGCAGCATTTCTGCTGCCTGAGGCAGCTTCTTCAATCTACCTCCTGGTAGGGCTGGCCTCTGCTGCAGTGATCGCTACCTACTTGAGTGGCTTTAAAAGGCAAATTCATGGAGGCAATTCTCAATGGCTACTTGCTATGATGGCTGTGTACTGCCTCTAATATCATAGGACGGATGTCTCTCAGAGACTGGGATTTGGAATCACAAGCAGTGAGGGTGCTGCCGTTGCACTCATTGCTAAATGTGGGCTTCTTCCCTTTCGGACATCTTGTTGGCTGACATGAAGAAAGGATGTTGGTCCGATCCAGCAATGCTGTTTTGATATTCTCCTGAAACAACACCCCCTTACATGGGGAAAGGGCAGGTGACCAGACTATGGAAAATCTAGGGGCCTAACACCACTGGGACCTCAAGCCAGGGGTATACATTTTCTTGGAATGTGCAAAGTATTCTGAGCTTTTACATTTCTGTGTCTACAAACAAATAACACCTTGGCTGAAAGGGGGAGTGCCGATCTACTTGTCAGCAGTTCCCCTTATATAAGAAGAGCCTGCCGGATGAGGCCAATGGCTCATCTAGTCCAGCATCCTGTTCTCACAGTGACCAACCACATGCTTGTTTTCTTGCAAGCAGAATCCGAGCACAAGAGCAACTCTCCCCTCCTGCAGTTTACACAAAAAAATACACCTCTTGCACAGAAGTCAAAAATGCATTGTGAAAAACACTTCCTTTTGTCAGTCCTGAATGCAATGCAAGCCACAACCATCACATAATTTAAAATCATCTTGTTCCATTGTTTAGATACTGTCTATAATTTAAAAGGGACGTGGGTGGCACTGTGGGTTAAACCACAGAGCCTAGGACTTGCCAATCAGAAGGTTGACGGTTTGAATCCCTGCGACAGGGTGAGCTCCTGTTGCTCGGTCCCTGCTCCTGCCAACCTAGCAGTTTGAAAGCACGTCAAAGTGCAAGTAGATAAATAGGTACCACTCCAGCGGGAAGGTAAATGGCGTTTCCGTGCGCTGCTCTGGTTCACCAGAGTCATGCTAGCCACATGACCCGGAAGCTGTACGCCGGCTCCCTCGGCCAGTAAAGCGAGATGAGCGCCGCAACCCCAGAGTCGGCCACGACTGGACCTAATGGTCAGGGGTCCCTTTACCTTTATAATTTAAAAAGTAAGAAGAGTCTGCTGGATCAGACCAAAGGAGGCCCATCTAGTCCAGCATCCTCGTCTCACAGTGACCAACCAGATGCTTGTATTCCTGCAAGCAGAATTCAAGCCCAAGAGCAACTCCCCCTCCTGCAGTTTCCAAAAACTGGTATTCAGAAGCATTTCTGCCAACTATGGAGGCACAGCACAGCCATCATGACTAGTAGCCTTCAATAGCCCTCTCCTCCACTAATCCTCTTTTAAAGCCATCCAAGTTGGTGGCCATCACTGCTTCCTGTGGGAGGGAGTTCCATAGTTTAACAATGCACTGTGTGAAGGACTTTCTTGATGCTGGGTAATTGATCTGTTGCCGTCTGCAGCCATTTGAAGCCCTTCTCGCCTCTGTCGCTGCTTTGCATGCCATCTGGCCAAGTCCCTACTCCGTTTAA